TCTGTTTAGGTAGTAAGACTCTGCTTTGAGAATTTTTGGAATCTAGAATAATTATGATTTGTTTCCTTGGGACTTCACAGTTGCGAAATTGAGCACGTGTTTTGACGTCTTCCTGAATCACTACTTGCCCAATTCAAGATGCACAAGTAAATTACTTTCTCTTATGCACTGGGCACATCTGGCAGTCTGTATTGGCAGCTTCTGTGCTATTCTGTAGTATTGTTTAGCCCATACTCATTTGTCCTCTTTGCTGTTGAAAATTGTTTGCTGAATCAACTTTCAAATTATTATTATTAAAATCTACACCTTTTCTGATCTACAAATCTTAGGCATATAAGTAACTTAAAAAGAAAACACTTAGCAATTACCATTTGAAAACAGATCCCCTCATTCAGTAGCATGGATTTCTAGGTGGTAAACTGTTGTGAAACATTTAGATTCTCTTAGTTACAGAACAGAGATCAAAAGATAATGGATGAACATGAACAAAAATGGGTTTGAAATTAATATTAAGCATTCTTCATTTCAATAAAACGCAACCTGTGTTCAGTTTACTTGATTACAGTCATAAGGATGCATATTTTGGAGTAAATTGGAAATTTTCTCATGAGGAACAGATTTTGTCAACAATTGCTGATGTCATTCAGTTAAAATGCTCTGTGGGAATCCTGTTAAAACTCTTGGTGGAACTGATAAGCCCACTTTGGTGGCTGCCTGCCTGCCATGTTGGAGGTGCTGGTTCCTGGCAGGCAGCCCTGGGGCTCGGCGGGTCTGGGGGCTGCTCCTCACCAGGGCTGCTGCTCCCTGCACACCCGCTCTCTGGCTGGGGGTGAGTAGGAAGCTGTTGTGAAACTCATGTTTGGGGAGCCTGTCTGTGAGATGGAAAAAAATAATCTGTTTTGGTTTTTTTCTTAAGATTGAGTTGGTCTCCAAATCACTTTCTTGGAGCAGGATTTTTCTTTAACTTTGCTATGATTTGGGTGTTAGAAGAGGATGGGAGGAAAAAGAGATGTTTTAGAGGTAATGCTCTACAGGGTGAGATTTTTGCTTTACAGCAGGTGGTGGTAAGAGGGGGCTGAAGGGCTCCATGCACAGATGGTGATAGACCGTAGTGTACCAGTGTGGGAAAATGATTAATCAATACTCCAGGGATTTATTCCAGTATTTTGTTCTTTTTAATTTAGCCTTCTGTTTCTCTGCTCAGGAGCTCTGTAAGAGAATGTTCTAAATGGGATGCTGATTCAGGATCCTGGTGATGTTTGAAAGTAATTAAAACAGTTCCCTAACTGTTTCTTAGCTGGGCTTTGTTGCAAATGCAGTGAACAAATGTGCTGTCTATGTTTCTGCTTGCAAGTTGCATAAATATGGCTCCAATTTTAATGAAGGAGACTTGGGGAAGTAATACTGAGGAATAGTGAATAAGTGAGCAAGATGCTTAATGCACATTTTTCATAGTCCTGTTGCACTTGCGTTGCTGTAGACAACCTTCATTCTGATGCTACCTAAGTTTTAAGAGCTTGCCTTTCTGACTTTATTGATGTCTTAAAAGGAATCTTAAAAGGAAGCTGTGTTCAGTGAAGTTGAAAAAAAAAAAATTGCCTGAAATGGCATTATTTGAACCAGTGTAATTCATTAATAGAGTTGTAAATTTTAGGTTCCTCATGCAGATATTTGCTTCATGAGGTACTGGAGCATGTTGTCACCCTTTATGGAGGATCAGTGCTGGAGGAAGAAAATGTCTTCCGTTGAGCACAAGGCTCCTCCTCCCATTTTGTTCATCAGCTCTTCTTTAATTTTAGTCACCTTTCCACTGCTTGGCTTTTCCTCCTTGTCTGTTCCATTCCCTCACCCAGGTCTAGATTTTGCAACCTGGTTTTTTTGTAATACTTACTGCCTTAAAGTTTTCTGTCTGAGCTGGAACATCTCCTTCCTCTATGCTCAGTTCTAATGCCTCTCCTAGGCACTCCCTTCCTCCTGGTGCTCCTTGTCCAAATGAGCCACCTTTTCTCCTCATCACAGCAGGGAAGCTTTCTGTTTAGGATATGTTTCCGTTGCCTCCCCAGCTGTTTCAACTAGATCTTCCCTACGTGATTTTTCATCATGTCTTTTTCTATACTGCCCTCTGCCTCATTTAGCTCTTCAGTCTGTCTTCCCTCTATCCTGTGTGGTTTGTTTCCCACCAACCTGCTGTTGCCCTCTCCCAGTATACACATGGTTTCCCTGGTCAGTTCTTAAGTTTGTCCTGCCTCTCTCTTCCCATTTCTCCTTTGTGCACAACCACTTTTCTGGCTCTCTTCATTCCCCTTTTTTCCACCCCACATTCTCTCTGTCACCCTGTCAGTATTCTTTTTTCACTGTGGGTATCAGTGGTGAAGTAATGGAGGTTGCTGGAATGGTAGACCTGAAGTGTCTATGGGGGTTCTACCTTAGTCCAGCGGGGGCTGTGCTTAGAGGGAGAATTAGCCTTGAGCTGAAGAACACTTACTTGCTGCATCAAAATGGCTCATGGTTGGACCCAATGTGTGTGGGTGGTTGGAGCATACCTTTGAAATCCTCAGAAATTTTAGTCAAATTTTTAAAAACATTTACTCTGCATTTGTAAATATATATGTTGGAGGCAGGGATAACTTGTCACCAGACACTGAGGGGACAGACAGGTTCTTTTAGGGACCCGTGGCAGAATGGTGATGGCACTAAATCATAGTTAGAATTAAAGCTTTATTTTCCTAACAGGATAAGTAGTGTAATGTAAGTTCAATTGTATTACGAATTCTACAATTTCTAATAATTTGGATCCTCTGCTGATCAGGTCAGATCTTTGATATATAACAATCATAATCTAGACTCAAAATTCATATAAAAGATTGAGTCACTCCCTCAATCCTGGTAGGAAGCAGAGGATGGTGGAGGCATCTCGGGCCACCAGCAGGTCCCAGCTCTTGCTGTTCAGCAGCAGCTCCAGTTCAAGATCCCCCCTTAGGACTGGTAACTACTTGGTTTTATAGAGAGTGGTCTTGCTCTGTGCGCTGTTACGCTTCCCTGTTCTGGGACAGGGCCATCGCCATGGCCCCACATGCCTGGGACCTTCAAGGCCAGCAAGGGAGGGAGTAATTGACCTGGCACACAGAAATTGTTTGTCTACTTGGTGCACAAGGTCTGATTATGAGGGGGAAGAGAACAAATACATGACCCGCTTGGCTGCAGAGAATGGCTGCTTGCCTCAAAATGGTGTTATTTATGCTAACCACAGTGTCAAGGTTTGGGAGCAGGGGGTGCTGGTCATGGAACGACCTTATGAACAGTTGGTTTCAGTGTGAAGAATTAGTTTGGTAGAGGCTGAAGTAGCAGGGGGCTCAATTTTACAGTGGGAAGTTGCTGATGATATTGTCCATAATAGGTGCTCCCAGGCTCCCTCTTAATACCAGTGACAGCTATTAGTAACAATTAAGGATGTTTTATGCTGGAGAAATGATTTACAAGTGATTGAAAACCACAATGTTTACTTCTAGGATGGGATGAAGTTACTTAGATTAGTAAAAAGGTGCATTAAGAAGTAATGGAGTGTGTAAAACGAAGTCACTTAAGGCTGAATATCAAGATTGTAAAGCAGTATGCTATAGGATTTTTTTTCCAAGGAATTAGTAGAAATTATCTTTTTTAAATGTTTACATGTTGACAAATATCCTATACGAAGCACTTTCATATTGATAGGAGGAAGATTGTGAAGCAAAATATTCCTTTACTTTGTCTCTTCTGAGAGAGCATATGTTTGAGTTCTAGAAATGTGATATATAGTGTAATCTCAAGTGGTATTCACAAAGCTACTTGAAATAGACTGCTACTTTTCACTGTCATCCTTAAGTAGGACATAGGGGCCCTAAATACCCATGGAAATTTAAGTGCAAGGAGCAAAAACTAGGCTCTGATCCAAAGCCAGCTGAAGCTGATTAAGAGACTGGTTTTGGCTACTGAAGGCTATGGCTCAGGCCACTAGCAAGCCAGAATTGAGCTTAAGGTGTTCAGACAGACTTTTGTTGTTTGTTATGTCTGCAGGGTTTTTCTTTTGGCTCATGTTTGAGATGCTGTCTGTGATTACATGAGATGTCCCAGTGTGTATATGACCTTAAGTGTTACATATTTTCATTGTTGAGTTCTGGAAATAATAAGAGTAATACTCAACACCTTAACTACACTATGTATTGTTCTGTTTTTGTGGCTTGACACTACATCGTTAAATCACAGGTATGCCTAGAGATGATATACTTACTCCTTTAAGATATGTCTACACCTAGGATAGAGTAGAGGCAAGGAAGATATCTTCACTTTACATGGTTTGCAGTTCTTTGGCTAGTTTTAGTGTGCTTCGCCATTCTTTCTATCCTGTTAGATATTTAAACTTTTCAAATAGTGAAACAGAAGAGGAATATGCTTTTCACATAGGAAGTGTTTGTAGAGTTGCAAATATAGGTTAGTGAGAGGTGATGGTGTGCCTGACTCTCATGATTGTTTTACTTGCATGCTTATCATCTATTTTAGAAATAGAAAATAAAATGTTTACATTTTATCATAATGGTTTTTTGAGCTCAGTCCAAGTTAGTTCTTTTATTTTAATTTCACTTGGCTTGTTGCCCCATTTTACAGCTTGACCTGAACTTTTTATAGATGTACGTAGTTATAAGCTATCTGTGTGCTGTGTCTCCACTTTCTTCAAGTTGAGAAGAGTTGAAAAGTCATTTTTTAGAGTTGAGTCAAGATTTCATTCCAAATGTTAATAGAAATGTAGAGCTTATTCCCTCTTCTAGCTGAACTAGATTGATTATATACTATTCACCAATAAAATTATCCACAGTACAAAAAAGATTTTGGAAAACTCTTACCTAGCATTCTGTAAAGTATTATGAAAAGTAGGTTTTAGCACTTCAGGGTCAAAATGCTTGCATTGGTTTGGGGGGATAAATTGGAACTTGTTATAATTAATTTCTTTTATATGTGACCTCCAGGTTCCAGCAAGATGTGGAGTGACAGTCCGAGATAGCCTAAAGAAAGCTCTGATGATGAGAGGTCTTATTCCAGAATGCTGTGCTGTTTACAGAATACAAGATGGGTACGGTTTATGTGTGATGTTTTTCGCTCTTAGAATCTCTTCTTGGAGTTACCCAGTGTGGCCAGTGTTGTGGAAGTTGTTTTCGAAGCTGGCACTAAATTTGTGCCTTGAAGACATGTCTAAAAAGAATGGCAAACTCCTAGAAATTTAATCACTTCAAGAACAGGCATAATTTAGAGTAATATGACTGTTGGGAAAACACTCAGTAATCAAACTCATGCTAACCAAACAAGTATTAAATAGGTTTTGTTAACTTTTTGATTTGACTTAGATATAGAGCACTTTTAACTGAATATAGAGGGGGGTGGGGGAGAGTTTCCAGCCCTAAGAAATACGTAGATTATTTTACTGCACAAAATTAGCTGCCTCTTTGGAACGGTTATGGAACAGGTACTTTCACGAGCACTTTATTTCATCAGAAGGGTGTCTGTCACCTTGGAACCAAGGAATTGGCCACTACTGAAACTGATGGAAAAAGACCATTTTTTTTCATGCAGTTTGTCCAGGAAGGTGTGCCTTCCTTGCTGTGTGCTGAGCTTAATGTCTTGATTTTACTGCTTCCTGTAGGTAGAGACAGGGTAGCAAAGCCCCACAGTGCAACTTTCAAACCTGATCTCATATCTTCAGCTGGAGACCTGCAAGGGCTTGTGTGCTGGTGCTAATGAAAGGCTTATTTACACTTTAGAGAGAAGAAGCCAATTGGCTGGGACACGGACATTTCCTGGCTCACGGGAGAAGAGTTGCATGTGGAAGTCTTGGAGAATGTGCCACTCACGACACACAATTTTGTATGTATTGTTTTTTATGAAATGTTGAGTAAGGTTAAATCAACTTTGTACTTTCAAATTCATATTAACAACTTTGAACAATATTTTGTATCTGTGGAATGTGGTGGGGGTTGCAAAAGAAGTTTTTAATCACAATAGCTTAAACAAGTTAGATAGAATTGTAGTTTAAATAAGTAATGTTAGAGTACTTGATCACCCTTAAAACTTTCACTTTTGGATGGAATACACCCTCTAAAATCTATAAATACAGGGGGTTTAAATCAGCACTGCATTGCAGAGCTGTAATAATAATCTACTATTTTTGTATTGCTGTATCTATAAAATGTATTCTGGGCCTCCCTGCTGGCTCTGCAGCAGCAATTAACTAATGAACTAACTATTCCCAGAGCGGTGCTGACATCATCAGTGATGCTGGTGCACAAATATGTTCTGACCTGATAAGGCACCAAGTAAATGAAAGCTGCTAAACAGAATCAATCTAAACAGTTCCAGCTACATACAAAATCCTGGAAATAATGTTCGTCACATTGAGAAGAAAGACCTTTTATTTAAATTTTAAAAAAAAACAAAACAAACCCAAAATTCTATTTGGAAGCTGCTTAAACTGTTTTACTCAAACAAGCTAGTTTGGCTATGGCTAGTTAAATGAAAGTCTAGTAGGATGAATGGGGGTATTTTATATCCTTCTGGAATTTTGATTGTTACATGTAGTGATACAACTACAATGTGTTTTTATGCCAAGCATTGCTAAATTTGAAAATCAAATTAAATCATTTTTTTCCCCCTCTATAATATAGGGATAATATATGTTCACCCTTTCACAATTTTAAATGTTTCTGAGTTTCAGTAGTCAAAATTACAATTATATATGTAACTGTATGTAGAAGCCATATATATATATATATATATATATATATATATATATATAAAAGCCATATGTATATTTCTAGTCCTGTGAGTGTTGGATAGAAATGTCATTTGGCTCCTGGAAAAATTAGATGAGGTAATTTTTTTCAGCAGCTTTTGTTTTTATAGGTTGTATCCAATTAAATTCTGAATGTTTGACTCTAGCATGATAGTGCACTGTTTTGTTTCAGATTTGTTGCTGTTTTTCTTACTGCTAATGAAGTGAAGCATTAATTGCAATAAATAGTTGAAAGAAAACTTTAATGCATGAAGACTATTTCATTCAAAAAGGGATAATCTTTTATGTGAATCTGATATATAAAACTAGCTTTGGCAGCAAAAAAAGAGGCTTGTACATGTATTTGAGGGAGCTAAAAGCAAATTGTGTGTCTTAGGCTTACAAGAGGACTCTATTTATATGATTATTTTTGTTGATGTAGGTACGAAAAACATTCTTCACGTTAGCATTCTGCGACTTTTGTCGAAAGCTGCTTTTCCAGGGATTCCGGTGCCAGACATGTGGCTACAAATTTCACCAGCGCTGTAGTACAGAAGTGCCACTGATGTGTGTTAATTATGACCAACTTGAGTAAGTAATCACAATTGGTTTTTAAGTTGAGCCTTTTATTAAACTTACAGCTGTAAGTGATTTCTTATGTTAAATCTGTAATTCAGAAAGTCAGAGGGAGGTACCTGAAAAAAATATAGGAGTTCAGCTGTTCTTGTGAGACTGCATAATTCATATTCTTTCTCTATTAGCTCAGACAATCTGTTCATAATTTTTTTTTCTGGACTATGAAATGCTTTCTTTGAAGCATGAATGGGGTGGCTGAGCACTTGACTGTATCAGACAGACTTCTCATTGTTCACAGTTGTTATTCTTAATCAAAACTGATTCTTTATGTGATGGCTAGGGCCCTGTTTAAATGTTTAGATGTGGATTTAGATGCAGGTTTATTCTCTTCAACTTGAAAGAAAGGTTGAGACACTAGTTTAATATGGTGAAATTGCAGTTAGTTTTACAGTGATTGAAAATAAATCCATTAGTGAGTTTGATGCTTAGGTAAGAAACATAAAAAAGAATGTCCCAATTAAATTCAAATTCTTGAATTTAATAGTTGATCTATTTGTGTAGATTTATGCTGTTTCCTTGGACATCTCCAGAGTTTGTGCTCAGGGCTTATGGATAACATAGTTCTATCTACTTAGCATTTGTTTTTTGGTAGTGCCTCAGTGCAAACATTAAAATAAGTTAATGTACTCAACATATAGGTAGGTGTAAGTTGGGCATTCTTGAGGAACCTGATGTTTGCAATTTCAACTAAAAAATGTTAAAATTACTTTCTGCAAAGTATGTTTAAGGCATTATCTTTTGTTCCTTTAAGTAAATAATATTTTAACAAATCTTACAAATTAATGTATTAGTGTAGTTTTTAATTTAAAATTTAGTATTTGATCAGAAGGTTGGGGGAGTTTTTCAGTCTTTGTTATATTGTGAAGCTTCTGGATTTTGCACAAGTTAGGTTGGTTTTGTTTTGTTCTTGCCTCACAGTTTGCTGTTTGTCTCCAAGTTCTTTGAACATCACCCCATACCACAGGAGGAGGCCTCCTTAGGAGAGACCACCCCAGCATCTGGATCGTACCCCTCAGTGCCCCCCTCAGATTCTGTTGGGTATGACCTTATTCCTGCTGTTTAATAACATAACATTTCAGTTCTGCATGCTTAGAAACAATCAAAATACTGCTTTGCAACTCTCTCTACATTTTTGTAATCTGGCTTGTCAAGCAAATATATCCACGTATGTTTAACTTCAAAGAAGTGAATGTTTTCATTCACATGAATTATATAAATTAGTAATGAACCCAAGTTAATCGTGTGTGTAAGTGTCTGTAGAATTGGGGCCTTACCTGTTAAACTGATTTCTTCTACATGGTCACTTAGACCTGGTCTAAACTGGAAAGATTTTATACTTAAAATTAATACAACCCAAAACTGTATCCTTATACCTTCTTTTAGTTTGTGTTATCAAACTACAATTTATTTGCCTTGAAGTGATATACCTCTGTTTCAGAATAAGCAACACCACTGTAAGATTGGTGGGAACACATGCCCATTTCAGGTCCATAATACTGCTTTAGTAGCTTTTCCACATATACATTGCTTCAGTGTCCTACAGACCAGCTGTCTTCCTCCTGTTTATATGTTAGGATATACCAATAGCATCTGTTTGCTGCAGATCCAAGTTTTGTAAAATTAGCCTTCTAAAACTGACCACAGCCTCCATCCACTGTATTTCCTACAAAGATTCTGGACCCTCTCTCTGGGAAGAGATAAATGATCATGTTTAGATCATTCCCCATAGCTAAGAGATCGCTGACACCACCCAGCACTAGATAGTTGAACAAATCTCCATGAAGCAGTAACTCACGGAGTATCAAAGTCAAGAAACGTGGTGCAGATTTATTAGTAACACCAAATACAAAAGCCTTCCGAAAAACATTCTTGGGACATGTGTGCTGCACGGAGATGAACTGAATTTGACAGAGAGGCTCTCTTGGAATAGTGAGCATTGTGTCCGAACTAAAGCGGAAACACAGCTGGAAGCTACACAGGCACCTGTGGACTCAACTAGAAGAGAAATTCCCTGGACAGCCAAGACTATTCTATGAAAGATCAAATACGATGTCTCCCAGGAAAATAGATGAAAGTCCTGCAGAGGGAACCTCATTTGGTAAGTACAGAGAGAGATGATGCTTTTATTTGTATGATTTTATACAGTTTCAAGTAAATTTGGAAGTGCTTCTTCCAGGTAGTGGATGTTGCCTTTATATCCCATGAATGTTAGTACAGCAGACTGTGGACAAGGATGCTGCTGTGGTTCTCAAAGCTAAGGCTCTGCATTTCTCATGGTACAGCTGAAATTATAACCAGGCTAGAATATTCATCTGTGAAGAACCTTGTTCATACCAAATGTGTTAAATGTCTGTGGATGCCAAAGGCACCATATATAGCCCCAACCCTAATACTGGTATATGCTAAATTTTCCTGCTTTTCAGTTCCTTCTGCCTCATGTTTGTGCTTTCTTACTGGTTTATGAGGATACAACAGGATGGATTATCTTAATTTATACATTCACTACTTCGAGCAGTCTTAGTTTTGTGAAGTAAAAGCTGAAAGGAAAAACTGAGACCAAAGCTGATCAGTGCCTTAAGGTTTTAAACTTCATGTGTATATATAAATGTTAGCGTTTAAATATACTTGCCAGTTGAGGTTAAGGAACTTGTTGCATCTGTAAATGTTTGTGGTTGCAGGAGCTGTAAAAGGTTTCTAGCTTTCTACTTTCTGCTTTTTTGCCTTGCTGTACACTTCATTGTTAAACAAAATAGGCATACATCATGCCTTCAGAATTCTGTTTATTTTGAAAACGGTTTATGATTATCAGCTGGTGTTCATAAGTAGTATGCATGTTAGAAAGTCATGCACTTCCCCCAAGCATCTGTGTTTGTAGCCTTTCCTTTCCAGAAGCAGTGCAGATATTACTGTATGACCATATAGCACTGTCCATACCTTTCTCCAGTTATCTTTTTGCCTTTCTTTGATAATACTTCTCTGCTTTTTAAAGACGTAATTGTGGAGATTATAATATTTCTGAATATTTTTAGAGTAAAAATAAAATGCTGGCCTTTTCTATAAAAGCATACACTTACAGTTTTGTTAAAGGGTAGTGCTACAATATGGGACAACAGCTCAACTGGAATAAAAAACAAGTCTGACATTTGTGGTTATTTTGTTTGGGAACTTTCAGAGTTGTTGGGCAATGAGTTTGACAGTTGAGAAACTGGTGCTTTATTAACACTTACTAGTTTAATAATTGTTCCTTTGATATTTCTGTTCTCCTAGCATCTTGCATGGCACAGCCCACAAAGGAAGGGATGTTACTAATTGTTTGGTAAACCTGAGGAAAGAGAAGACAAACATCCTTCTTCATCTTTACCATTGTGAAGGGATTCCAGCAGCAGGCAAAGTGCCCAAAGAAAGGAAGAGTGTGTTGCAAGACAAGCTCAAGAGCCGAAGGCGTGTGTGACACGCTGAGAAATTGTCAAGGGATCAAATGAAGAAAGAGAAAGGGACATAAAGGAAAAGACCACTGGACATGACGCAAAAGCGGCTAAACATGCTGGAGAACTTTGTTTCACTTTTCTCATGTGTAACATCCTAAAGCAATCCAGTCCTGTAGCCTTTCATTCTTCCAACTGTAAGCCGTAGGCAGTCCCTCCAGATGTTCCTTCCCAAGATAAGGGAGCACATATGGTTCCACATGCACATTTCTGAATCCCTTATAAAAATGTGTCCAGCCTCCATACTAGGTCTTTTGTCCCATTTTACTTCTTTCAGTTTGCACTATCCTGTTATGCCAAAGCAGCCCTTCTAGTTATAATCTGCACTTAACTGGAAAGAATTATTAAAGTAGGTGTCCCTAATAGTAGCCATCTGTAATAAAATTGAAGTACCCAAACTGTATATAATAAATTTTATTCATTTCATTCATTGCATTATCATAAAGTTTCTTCTGTATCTTTGCTCGTAAAATATGAGCACAGAATTTCTGTGACCCTAGTTCCCTGGATCTTACAGATGAATGAAAAAAGGAAAGGTTAGGTACTCAAAATATTCCAAAGTTGTCTTTTCCAACTTCCATCTATTCTCTCAGATGTTGTGATGTTGGGGAAAACTTGGCAAATTTATGAGGCAGATGTTAGGGCAGGGTGAGTAACCTGTGGAGTGGGTGGTAAGGGGGTGCATGGTTAGCCTTTGAATAGCACAGAGGCAGGTTGGACTCAATAGAAACTGAAAGCGTTTACTTTGTTTGAGGCAGAACACTGCTAGTAAGGAGGTTGGCAACATCTTGGCTCTTTGAAAAACAACATTTTCCAACATGCTTAATCTTCTAAATTTGAGAAAGGAAAGGGGACTGTCTGGTACACCATTCTTGGAAGCTTGCAAGTCCCTGCCTTGGAGGAGGCTCCAGCGTGTGATTAAACACCTCTGTTTTCCTTTTTGTCTTCCAAATGTTCACTGATCGTTCTGCCTCAGCTGAAGGTATTTTAGTCTAGAACAGCTTCTGAAAAACCAAGGAAACAAAGACACAGTCTTACAGTATTGTATTTGGTACTACTAAGTGAACAAAAGCTTTGTGTTTTATTGCATAAAACAATGATGAACTTTCTCCCTAAAAATTCTGGCACTAGACATTTTCCAAACCACTCCCTGTAAATGTTAGCAAGCTCCCTACAATACCCAACTCGATATGCATTCTTGCTGAGCAGAAAAGGCCTGGTAATAGAACCTTTAGAAAAATCATCTTTAGTCTGTAGAACAGCTGGGGAAAACTTGCTCCCCAAAACTTTATTTGTGAAAACATGGTAGTGAACTGAAACCTAGTGTGGAGGACTAATGACAGCTTTGTAGGTTCTCTTGATAGCTCCTGGTACATGAAGCTATCAGAAATTTTGGGAAAGCATTGCTAAGCTTTGATCTGGGCCCAAAGGCCAGAATAAATGCACACCATTGTGATAGTCCTGGCAGTTGTTTTATACCTACACAAGCCAGCATGGGTGAAAACAAGTTGATATGGTATGCAAAAAATGCACTAATCTGTATGAAATTATGACTGTTACTGATTGTTCTGTGGTGCTTTTAGACTTGACACCACAGGATGCTGTAAGTGATCTCTAGCTTGTAGTTACAATCTTGTACTGCTAACCTTTACCCCAGATCAACATTTGATTTCGTGTTATTCACTATTTCCAGGCTGAAGAGGTGGGGAAAGAGAAAAGTTACTTTGTTTTCTGGCAATATCTCTGGAGTACCATAATAATTAAATTGGAACGTTTGACCTCCAAAATGTAGTTTACCTGCTTCCTAGTGTAGCTGAAACACCATTGTATCCCAGATCCTTAGCAGTCCATAGAAACAGCATGAAAATGGAAATGCACTGTGTTCTTCACTAACAACAGTAACAAAAAAGAAAGCCAATTGTGCTGTGATGCAAACAACAAAAAAAGCGCTTTGGTATGCAGATTAGCTTAGGTTTCTCCTGGGTATGAGTATGCAGTGTACCAGGTGAATAGTGTGTACTACACTGAGCCCTGTGGCTGAACTAAGATTCACTTGAGACTGGGAGGGGGAGAAGAAAAATCTTGGTCCAGTAGAGATGTCACTTCACTTTTAAAATAACAGCACACACCCTATAACTGAAGCTAGGTGAATGTGATTCTTCAGTTTAATTATTTGCCTAACTACAGCAAAATAAAAACCCAAACAAAAACTGGGAAGCCCAAACAAATCTCTTCTAAGAAAAATCTTTCCTGAGTAGACCAGCTCTTAAACATACGAAACATCCCATTGGTGAGTTAAAGGAAACTGAGGAAAATCAATATTAAAATTTTCTTTTGTGTTTGTAAAGTGAACTAACTTGTATCATTGCAATTTCTAAGATCTGGTGGAGGTACTATATTGATTTTATGAAATTGTTTGTTTATATATAAAGTAGCATGTGTAGTTCTGAGTTATCTTGCTCCTTCCCATGGACCCAGTTTTGAGGAATAGTATTGTGGACACATTGGCACTTGCTGTGATTGGGTAAAAATCTACATCTGTCTGCAACTACTCCTGTCTCCTGACAAAGCCTTTTTCTGTTTTCTCTTGATAAAAAAGGGAGGGAACAATGTGCTTATCCCAAATGCATGATCCAAGGAAAAGGCATGTTCTATTATACTGCCAGGAAAGTTTATAGCATATTAAATCAAAATTTGACAACTCTTATCAGCTTGCTGCCTGAGAAACTGAGAATTGTTTGTTAAAGGAATGTCTCCATCTAAGAGGCTGGAAGAAAGTGTGTAAGATGAGGTGGTACAACCTCTCTAATGTGTCAGAATGTTGACCTTTTTATTTGTAGAAGGTCTCATCTAGATAGGAGGTTGACTGTTAACTGCTTACGAAGACCACAGGAGCAACGGATATTCTGATCCTGGTATTTAAGCTGCTCCTTCTTTAAAACCCAGCCTGCTATACCTATGTGCCACAGTAAACAGTCCTCTGCAGCAGCTGTGTTCTGGTCCTCTTGATTTTTTTTTTTTTTTAAATTTTTTTTTTTTTGGGCACCATGTTTGCATGGCCTGCAGGACTAGTTTTGTAACTTGCCTGGAATAGACAGTGTCACTCTTCCAAGTCATGACGGCTGATCCTTTTTGTTCTAGTGTCCCTTCTACCCTACTGGAGTAATTAAAATTTAAGAATACTGTAAGAACAGATTTTTGGTAGCTAAGGGGATTGCTCCATTCTTTGTGGTGAAATGTTTTCTGTAGCTCGAGATCTTGATGCAGATCAAGATACAGACTTTGCCACAGACAAGCAGAGGCTGGTGATAATCTCTTCTGAGCTGGTGATTTCAGGCCATCTTGGCTAGTAAACCACATCTGTTTTTCTCTTCACTAGTTATCTTTTTCAAGCAAAATTTCCATTAGCAAAAATAATCTACCTTTTTGCAAGTGTCCCAAGGAAACCCATTCATGAAATCCTGATTGTATAGATAGAGCAGAAGTCCAACTGCCTATGGGATTCCCATCTCTGGATTCTTCGGTGTCTAAAGCCCAGAGATCCTCCCAGTAATAGTTTAGAGACTCCAGAATTCTTTATTAGCCTGTAATTGTTTTCTAAAGATCTGAACTTCCCCCATATAGAGTTTAATGAGTAGGAAAATCTATTCAAGTTGTTTTCAAACTTGGTATGACATAGCTTTCTATCTGTGCTAGTAACACAATAAGCATGATGACCTGTGACCAGAAATACAGAAGCATTTGCAGATTCCCTTAGCAGATGACCATTTATGACTCAAAGGAGGATGTAATTGAAAAAATATTTTATGCAATTTGGTTTTCTCTCCTTGGCTTACTCATGATCACAGAAGATCTGATTGCTTCTGTTCTTGTCTTGTGGCGGAGCTCAAATGCTGTCTCTCAGTCACTCATTGCAATGATCTGATATTTGTTCTTACACATTGCCCTTAATTTCATTATTACGGAGAACTCTCAGGAAGTTTGGGTAGGAGTTAGCTATCCCGACAATGACAGTAGGGGCCTGAGACTTTTTAGGCTTTGCTTATGAAATCATTCTGTGCAGCATCTGACATACTTGCCTTAACATGAAAACACAGTGCCTTAGAATATCAACCAAGTGCTGTGTTTGTATCTGTACAGTATCCCATCTCCTGATGTGGGTTCTAGTTGCATGATTTCCTTACAAAAATGATTAGAAGTTCAAAGCTTTCTTATCTACAATAGAAAAGATGTTACCCAAAGGCACTTGTTAGCACTGAATGAAAACTTTAGCTTATGTATATGTACTTCAACTGCTTTTTAAAATGATTCTGAAATTCAGATCATCTTCTAAAATGCTGGGATATTCAAGGCCCTTTCTCAGAGATTTGTCTATTGGCAGTTTCAGTTCATTGCTTCCTAATACCTTCACAATATTTATATTGTCATGTGACAACAGGTAGCAATTTTGAAAAGAAGTTAAGCAGGATTAGACCCATTATCTATTCTTCCTCTGTCCCACCTCCCCACTTCCACAACATAACCAAAGTACTTTTTTACAAGGCTTCACTAGACTGTTATTTGAATTAATTCACAAGTGCTCTTTCCCCATTCTCAATTGTGAAACTTGGCCAGGAAGGAAAAGATGATGGGTACTTAGGATACAGATAGCACTGAGTTCTGGGATCAGTGCCAAACTGTATATTCAATGAAAGCTAGGGTAAGTCTTTTAAAGGAGACCCATTTCTGAAAAAATGTCAAGAGATCCTGTTGAAAATGTTAGTTGTCTCTAAAGATGTTTGGAGAGGCCAAGGAGTGTTCGCTTGCAGGAGGTAGCACCAGGACCTGTTGCTGCTATATGCTGCTGTATGGTCTGTTTCTGAAGCTTCTCCCTGTGGGCATTGCCTTGGTGGGCATGGTAACTAACCCACGAGTAACCAAATGGCTGGAAGACTCTGCTCCTCTCTTAGGAATTGTGTTTTCTGTAAGTTCTAAAAACCTCGTTGCCAGATGTCATGTATATATTAACCTAAAGTTTTCTTTGACAAAGGTGGCAAATGTTTCTCATTGACCTTTTGTCTTATATCTATTAATTTTTTAAGACTTAACAGTGACTGACCTTGAGTTGAATAAGGGATAAAGGCCAACTTATTGTACTTTAACAAAATAAATAGATAAGCAAAGAAGTGATATTCTGCCTTCTTGCAAACAAAAAAAAAGCAAGTGTTTAGGTGTTTTGACTTTTAAATATATGATTCCTGGTACCATAAATTAAAGACTTTATCTGCATTTATGACTGGCAACATTTGCATTTCTTCACAAAACTTTTCTGTATAGACTGAATGCTTATCTTTCAAGTCAAATCTATTGCATTGCCTAACTTCAGCACTGTAAATAATGTTGTACTATTCAAAGTTATTTCTTAAAGGTTAAGAGGTGTAATGTTTATTTTTAGTATCAATAGCTCGTATTATGTTGGCTATAATATTAATCAATTATGTTGAATGATCAGTATGTAATTTTCAGTCGTTCTTCACTGAACAATAATCCCCTCCATAATATTTGTCCTGTGGCATCTTCTGGCTGTAGTGTTGATGTGAGATGTTAATCATTTTTAGTTCTCAGTGGGTTGCCATTAAAAAGAGCGTATTGCATGAACTGTGAAGTGAGGAAACTGCACAGTATCTTGCCATCTGCATTGCATGTTGGACTACATAAAATTTTCAGAGCAGTATTTATTATTATTAGTTTGGTATGGTATTTAGGATTTTTTGTTTTCTTTTTTAACTCAGAACACTTCACAGCCATGTAATTAAATGGTTTTTGCAGCAGAGAGTTGTTGCAATTGATCATAAGGGAGTAGAGATTGTTCGTTATAAATTGTTTTTATGCAGGCCTTTAGATCAGTGTTTTTAAACGTATGTATTATTATAGTTGAAAAGGACTTACCGCACCCACTATGCAGTATTTGAAGCCATTTGTAGACCTAAATCCTCTTTTTCCTTGACTTTGTTTCTCAGACCACCAATTCTCCCTAGTCCTTCTCCTTCAAAATCCATTCCAATCCCACAGCCCCTCCGACCAGCAGATGAAGACCATCGGAATCAATTTGGGCAACGCGACCGATCCTCTTCAGCTCCCAATGTTCACATCAATACAATTGAGCCAGTCAATATTGATGTAAGTATTAACAACATTTGGGTCAGGAATAATAGATTCAATATTTCCCTTATAAATATCAGCGTGTTAAATTTATTATGTGTACACACGAGTGCCGTGTTTCTGAGTTAATCCTTGGTGGTCTGTCAGAGTCTTCGTAGATCCCATGTAAGACATTTTTGCTGTTGAAAGCTGTAAGAATGCAAATAACCCATTCTCCAAAAGTAGAACTGCCTTCTGACAGTCTTGTCCTTTCATTTTCAAAGAAATGTTCTGCCACAAACCACTGCTCTCTTTTGGCTTTGTCATTAGTCCCAAGGCTTGTGCTGCTAGCTGTACCAGTGTTAAGAATGAGAGCCATTAACCACTCTTGCAAACAGTTACGTGTTAAGCATGTTTCTTTATATGTAAGATAGGGATTTTTAGTATTTGTAATTCAAGTAATATTTCTGGCATTGAATAAAATTAAATTATTGCAGTCTTACTGCAGATTTACTGAATGTTCCTTAGGATTTCAAGAGCCCGGTATATATTGTTCTGAGCATTCTTTTGGAGTGTTCAAAACCTGCTACATTTAACTGATTTTCCACATTCTTGAAATTTCTGGGTGCTGAATTGTAAATAATAATGATGGCTGATAGCAGGTGTAAGGCCAGCTAAGACCTTTCAGAATTTTGGTTGCAACAGCCTCCTTGTAATTTTGCTAACATATACAGCTTGTGTTTTACCTTTAAGTCTACTCTCTAGAAATTAGTCATTTGTTAGGTGAGCAGTCTTGAAGTCTGGCTAGATGATAAGGCACAAAATCTGTTTTGCCTGTGAGCTGTGTGAAAGGAGTTAGTTGAGTATTAAGAGTGTGGCTGTGTGGACATTTGCATATGGCAGTGGTGCAGCTGAAGTGGGACCAGCACTTTCAACTTAATGAAAACAGGCATACAGAAGCAAACTACTACAGTTTTCTAATTTTCTTCTGTTCAGAAAATCCTTAGTGTAATTTACTTTTAGTCTGGATATGTTGTAGAAGATACTTTCAGTTCACAGTGGATTGCAGGTGAAGGAAACCTTTTGCAATTAGTCATTTCTGAGCAGAACAGAGTGTGCCTGGCTATGCAAATGAGATGCTTTGTTACAAGAAAAAACAAAGCAGAACTCACTTGACTGATGTACCTCAGTACAGGAAATTGGTGTCCCAGCTTCTGATATGACAGTTCAAATAATTTGTGCCACAAACACTAACTAGAATATTTGGTTCGATATTTCTTCACGTGTTTTGACCAACTGTGTGTTTAAATCAATATTTTCATGTCAGCATCTATTTTTGGTGGTGTACGTTTCACTTCACTACTGAGAGATACTGAGAGATGCAACTAATTTTGAAAAGTTTTGTAGTTGTTATAAGTAGTTCTTTGGAGTCACTGCCCTTGGTAAGCCAGGGTGGCAAACAGCTATTAATTCGTGGACAACATACGAGATTATAGATTCTCAATTTGATCAATCTTAATTGATTCTGGAATGTAAACAATAGTACCTAAATTAAACACTTCTTTTATTTTTAATTTATAGGACTTGATTAGAGACCAAGGTTTACGAGGAGAGGGAGGTAAGTAGTGTTTAAACTAGTTACTGTGCTATATGGAATTACACAACCACGCTGTCCCTTCCCTTTGTTCTACTTCCTTCTACAAAACACAGGCACAAAGGAAAATATGACTAGAACAAAATATTAATTTGCATTCGCTTGTCCATGAACTTAATATTTGTCTGACAAAGGTTTGAGTCATTTGCCAGTCATTATGGGAGTGGGGGAGACGGAAGGAGAAACAGTTTTGAAGCGGTATCTATTTTTTTTAGTTTTAAAATTATCTTGCACCATCACTTTTTTTGCTCAACACAGACACATTCACTCACATGGCTGCACACAGATATGCTACAACTTCCCAACTCTCTCAAACATTTTTATGCCTGTTGTTACCTTTCCACCCATGGAAACAACGGGGGTTTTTGTTGAAAAACTATCAATGTTGTAGGTGGACCTTACATACAAACTGCTGCATCCTAAAGCAGCATGACATACTCCGGTTCTTCTCCCCCTCTGCCCCTGCTGAAGATGCTGCTTTGCTGTACTGCATGCCTGTGCTACTCTTGGAACCAGGTTGTTAGGACCTTACGCTAAAGCCCAGTCTTTTTATGCTTTCTTCAGTAACACACAGCCCTAATTCACACTTAAGTCGGGACTAGTGGCAGAAGATTTTTTTATTTAACCTTTTTTCTCATGTTATGCATGGGTCTATTAAGTCACTTCTCCCACTGGTTGTCAAGGTCCTGAAAGGGCTTCTTATGTGCTGTATTTATTCCTATGAATATAATAATAATAATATAGAAATAAAGACGTACTAAGTAGGGCAGGCATGTGACAGTTTTTCTAACTCCAGATCATTAATGCGGTCGTCTTCTGCTAATTATAACTTGCTTCAGCCATAAGTAAAGTCTGAATTACCTTAGTACGCTCATATCCTAATCTCTAAGGTTTTGTACTATGGGCTATCACTGACTTTGTCTCTCCCATCCAAATCTGGTATTTGGTAGGATGGTACCTACCTTCTACGTTGTGTTTGATGGAGCTATTTTTTCTTATGCCAGCAATAGACCGCTTTCGAAAAGAAATTTCTTTTAATCCTGCAGGCCTACTAATTTGAAGTTTCCAGTTTTAGTTATTTTTGTATGTGTTGATAGGTGTGGCTCTCTAGTTTTGCCCATTTTGTCCAGCATTTAAATGTTGTGCTATCATGTTGGTTTTAACTTTTGATCATAAACTGTCTGCTTGGCATCTGAAAACAATTGGCTATTCCCAGTCCTGAAACAGTGTTATTAGTAACTGATTTTTTTTTTCTTCAAAGTACAGAAGCAATCTATGAATAGGAGTCAAAGCATCCTAGTTATTTCCCATGACTTCTTTCATTTCTTCTATGTGTCTGTCTTTCTGTCTCTGCCTGCCCGTCTCTTTCTCTCTAACAGCCCCTTTGAACCAGCTGATGCGCTGTCTTCGGAAATACCAATCCCGGACTCCCAGTCCCCTCCTTCATTCTGTCCCCAGTGAAATAGTGTTTGATTTTGAGCCTGGCCCAGTGTTCAGAGGTAGTTGGGCTCTTCTTTCTTGTTTTCACCCAAACAAAATAAGTAAAACCACAGATGCTGTTTGTGCCTCACCCTCACACCGTGTGTATGTAAGTGTGTGAGTTTATCAAAACACCTCTGTTTTTTGCTTGGCCTGGCTGGTATGCTTTGAATGTGCTTTTCACACATACTCACTTTCACCTTTACACGCTTGAAAATTACTATAAAGAAACTCTGACTTAAATCTTCAAAAGCAAGGAATTTCATAGTTGAGGTTTTTATGTGGACCTTAACTTAATTTTTCTAAACAAAGGTCCTTGGATTGCATTGCAGTGATTTTAAAGTGACGTCCTTAACTTAGAATTTCCTTGACTGTTCAGTTTAAGTCAGTTCAGTGCTTTAACAGTTTTCTATACTCAATATTCTTTGTTTTGAAAAGTGATCTAGGAAATAAACCCAATGTGAATTACAAACATTTCCATTGATAACTTGTTAGGTCTCAGACTTTCCAAGAAATGTGTCATGTCAACTTTCAACAAATAGTTCATTTTAAGAATGTGCTATTGATACTACACTGGGGCCTGAGATGGTTTACACCATGTAGATTTTATTTAATTAGTAAATTGCCAGTGGAACTGTATTTGTGTCCTTTACCATATAAAATAAGACTCTTCCATTTTCACATCGTTGACCTTGGGGGTAATTTAGGCCTAAAGCTGTCAATGGATCTGTTGTACTGCATAAAATTCCAAAAATTCTGTGGCTTTTCATATGCTGAAGAAACCAACTAGTGAGTGTAATGTAAACATTTGTGTCTATATGTATACGTGTAGAAATGGGTAGTTCAGTGCATGTAGTATGGTTTTCAAATGCTACCATTTTGGCTGTTTCAAAGACTTTTGTTTCAGAATATCTCAAGAGCAGTTCACCTTATGAACTTGTAAAGTTCTTCCAGAAGTCTTTATAAGAAGACAGGTGTTCCCAACAAGCAAACTGGCTACAGAATGGAATATGTTACACACAGCTTCAGAGTCCAAGCTAATGACTTAAGTCCAACATTATCTGAAGTATTCTATTCTAATAACTTGGAAAACAGGCCATCTGGTATTATTATCAACAGATAACTGTAATGTTCTACTATGTGCTGTAAACTTTTTTGGTGAAGGGTGAATATTGTGCTAGAGTTCCTATGTCATGGTATTAAAATTTAAGTAGGAGACTTAAGTTACCTCTAAAGGAAACACACTCTAGTAGATCTTTGCTATTACAAAGAAAGTCTGTAACCCAGTAAAATTTTTGGAAAATTGCTTGTGTTCTGGGAACATCATACATTTAATTCCATATATGTGTGACTTCAGACAAATAATACAATAAATATATGACAATGTAGTGACCATGACATGAATGTGAACAAAAGCCCATCCTCCAGGTCACTGGCTTCCAACTGCTTTTAAGTATAGTTACAATGCCCAATATGCATCATTATTGGGACTTTATCATGTGGGACAAAGTTTATGGATGCTGTGTCCCGTTTTTTATTTTCTTGTATGTCATTATTTTGTGCTTCCACTTCTAAATGTGTATGGATTTTAGCTCAGTGAGGACAGGCAGTGATAGATATATATAGTCTGATAAATTAGCACGCACCGAGTGACTGAACTGGAGCAACAGTTTTAAAAGTCACAAAGTCAATTTTTTAACTCATGTTGGGATTAGGAGACACTTTTTTGGTAAGAAGGGGACTTCTGAAGTAATGTGTGAAGTATTGTCTTACCGCTTCCCAGAGCACCGATGTGAGAAAAAGCATTGGAATGTTGGATGGTGACATACATTGTTTAGCAGAGCAGCATGAATTTAATTAACAGTTGACCCTATTTTATGTCCTTTGCATAGGGAGGGTCAGCATAACCTTGTTACAAATAATTATGGTGTATTTTAAAAAGCGGTGTCTAGTTGAAGTGCTCTATTTGTAAAGAGCCACTGGGGCTCTTAAACACAGCTCTTAGTGACATCTTCCTGCATAGATTTGTTCAGATAACATATAGGCTATAGCTGTACTGTTTTTTTTGTATTTAATAGAATATGCTTCAAATAGCTAACTAAAGTACTTGTTCTTTTTTAGTCCTTTCTACAGTGTAATATTTACTTTTAAATAACAGCTCTCTGCTAACAGATAGCTTTAAAACAGCCAAATGGTTTTCAGGTGGCACTTGGAGACTCAACTAGAAAACATTTCAATTTTTCGCATTTAGTCTATTTTGATTCCAAAATACAGTATTTCAGCTATTTACTGGGTTCTTAAGAGGTTAACTTCAAGAAATCTGAGAGGTAGCTGCTGCTAACTAAAATGCTACTACTTTTCTTCTCAAAAAAAGGGTGGAATTAATTTTTTTTTTTTTTTAATTTAAAGATATGTTGTCCTGATAATTCACAAAGACACTGGGGACTATCTGGTATACAGGGGTGTTTGCGATAGACTTGTCTTTTCCTCAAATTGAAGACTTGAGCACTAATCTAATATTAGGAAAATATTCCTATATGTTTGTTCCCTCTTAACATTTACATTGGTGTTTGGAGATACTGTATCTTAAGCACCAATTCTTGCACTTAATATCAATACATTCTTGTAATCTGACTTCTTACAGATAAAATTATCCTGTTTCTGAAATTTAGGTTCAACTGCAGGTTTGTCTGCAACACCTCCTGCCTCTTTGCCTGGGTCACTCACCAATGTGAAAGCATTACAGAAATCACCAGGACCCCAACGGGAAAGGAAATCATCCTCATCCTCAGAAGACAGAAGTAGAATGGTAAGGAAAAGATCAGCCGTTTTCATTCATAGTATGGTAAAATAGTGGTATAGAAATAGTACACAACAATGTTCCTCTTGCTTTTCTTTCATCAAAGCTTTCTGAATTATTTTGTAGATGAGTATGGTAATGATCAAGAGCTTTAAATCAAGAAATAATGGAATACTGAAATTGTGGGACTGACATATAAATAATTTAAATAATTGACTATAGTTTAAATAATTGACTATACTCACTTTTACTCGATTGCACCCAAATGGCTTGGTGTGCTTCATATTATAATGCCAGTTTCCCTTCAAATAACAGCTTAACCTTTTCCACCATGATTCATGAACTTTGAAAGTTCTCTAGTGATTCACAAATGTAACAATACATAAAAAATGTCTGCATTTTCTTAAATTCACAGTTTAGCATTATGATTGTGTAAGTATTGAAAAATAAATGAGATTTTCTTTTTGGTAAGAGTATCTTAATATTTACTGGTTTTAATGCTGCCAGAAACCTGTGGCAAATATTTCATGCCAGGAAACTAGTATAACTGTGTGCTGAGGTTTTGTGTATGACTAGCCTGAAAAGTCAAATGCAGTATCTGAAAAATAAAGTTATTTTAGGCCTTTAATCATATGAAACGCTTACACCAAATCTTTAACAAAGGAGCTGTTTTCACAGACATTAATGCGCTTGCTTTCTCCATTTCTCTTGTTTGTGCATATACATAAAGAAAACCCTTGGTCGACGGGATTCAAGTGATGATTGGGAGATACCAGATGGACAGATCACAGTTGGACAGAGGATAGGATCTGGATCATTTGGAACAGTCTACAAAGGAAAGTGGCATGGTATGTGGTCATCAAGGCAAACAGTTATTTTTAAGCAAGTAACATTGCCTGCTGGGGGCCACCCAGCTGGAAAGCAGTTTGGCAGAAAAGCATATGGATTCTGGTGGACACCAAGTTGAACATGAGGCAGCAGTGTGCCCATGCTGCATAGAAGGCTGATGGTATCCTGGGCTGCATTAGGCAAATCATTGCCAGCAAGTCAAGGGAGGTGATCAGTCCCCTCAGCACTGGTGAGGCCACACCCAGACTGCTGGGTCCAGTTCTGGGCTCATCAGTACAACAGAGACATGGACATACCAAGGAGAGTCTGTTGAAGAGCTGTAAAGATGATTTTTACATTAGTAAGTAGTGTGCTAAATAGGTAATCTTAGAACTTCAAACTGCTTAGAAACTCAACTCTTGTGTGTTCTTCTGAATTATTAGGGTAAAGATGAAACATATTTACTAAAGGCTGAAGCACTGATGAATGAGAATTTAAAATGTGTATTTGGAAAGCTTTGACTTGCCTAGGATTTCTCAAAGTAAAGTAAGAATAGTATATATAGATTTTACAGAATATTTACTTATTTTAATACTGTAGGGGTTTATTTCATGAAAGCTAGAAAATAGGATATTTCTGATGCTCTATATAGCATTTTCTCAGTAGAAGAGTATGTATGAATGACACTAAAAATTGCTATTTTAAAGGTGATGTGGCAGTGAAAATGTTGAATGTTACGGCACCCACACCTCAACAGTTACAGGCTTTCAAAAATGAAGTAGGAGTGCTCAGGTAAGAATATTTTTAATGGCATAAAATACTGTGTGTAGAATTATGCTACATGAATAATTGAATTTTAGATTTCCATTAGAACACATTGGCCTTATTCCTCCGTGATGATACCATGGGCAGAAAATATAATTTGCCATTTAAAAATATTTCTTTGTATCCACTGCTAGTTCTTCCTTCCCCTGTATGTGTTTCTCTATATATCTATATTGTGAATATATCTCAGGTAGGACTGGGTTTTGCTGTTGTACTACCCTGAGGGCCCAGTCAAGCCTAAGTGTGAACTGTAGGCCTCTCTTCCTCTGATCCATGTTTTGAGATTGAAGGAGAGCATGACTAACTTTTGGTTTTGAGCTACAGCACTGCCCACATTATCCATGGTTTAATAGTTTCTGTTCAGTAGCATTCACTTCTCTGAGATTTGGGGGGTTTAAGTGGATTTCTCATAAAGTCACTTCTTGATTTCCTTTTCTCATGTCTACTGATTGTACTTTCTCAGAGGAAGTATTTGTCTTGAGTTCAGTACTTAAAAACAGATCAGTGCAATGCAAGAATATTTACTAGGGAAGACCATTAGTCAAATATAATCTTGAGCAGTCTCAAGCATAATTCTGTTTTAAGAAATTAAACAGAAAGAAGGTTTTTGCCTCTGGAAACCTGATATGTTGAGCTGGGTGCCTGTGCTGGAAGAGCATCCCCAATAAGTTACATGATGAAAAGGGGATGGTCAGCCTGTTTTCCCAGGAACTGTTAGTTCTGAGAACTCTAAGCCCATCATTGTGGAACTAGAGGCATTCTGGGGTATGCTACTTCAGATATCTCTGCATATTTTTGACATACCTGCTCATGAGAACTTAATGAAATCAAAAATCTTGTATTTCATACCTAGTCCAGATTTCTGCTGACAGTCCCATAGCTGGTGTCCAGCCTTTGTCTGTTGTGAATCATTTCAGCACTTACAGTAAATAGTTGTCATATACTTTGGCCCAGACAAGTCAGATTTACCTATAATTGTGCCTTTTCTGTTATACTTCATCATTACTTTCTTAGCTTTGAGGTAGCATTTGCAAGAAACCACTTTTTTTTGTTGTTCACTTTGCAGTTACTCTCAGCATCACTTGACAAATCCTTGAACCTGAAAAAGGCACAGTCACGTACTGTGTCCTAGTCTGCATTGATGAGAGGACAAAGGAGTTCACACTCTAGGCTTCTATGTTAGTTTTTTAATATAAGAAAGCATAAAGAGCTCTGCCATCTTCAGCAGCAGCCTAGATTTAAGAAGCTACCACAGGTTTTAAGCTTGGTCTGTCAGGTTTCTTTAGCAGCAAGCTGACTGCCTTTGGTACAGACCTGTGTTGGAAGATTGGTTTTATTTTTCCTCAGCCCCTGGGAAAGCTTGGAAATACTCCAGAATTCTTAGGTGCCTCATCTTTGTAATATCTCATTGGTATGTTTGTGGAGGTATCTAGTTCATCAAATTGATGACAATTAAGAATGTGATTGACTCTTCCTACAGGGTGATGAAAATCTTTCAGATTTCACAGTGTATCAGTAGATTCTTTCAGGCCTTGAATCTACTGGGATATTTCCTGAGATAATCCTCTCTGCATTGTTCGTTGTGAAGTTTTTCTGTCTGGAGTTGCTCTGTCTTTGAAATAGGTTTGATTTAATCTGGCCAAATCTCTGTGGTGAACTCCAGTCTCTCCCAGTGCTGTTTGGAAACAAGTTCATATCATAACCTTACTGAGGTACAGTTTTCATACCTGTTTCCATCCTTTCTTGTATGCTGGCTCCATAGAGAGTACAAAATTCTTGTCAAATAAAGCACTAAGAAAAACTGAAGCCTTGTCAAGGAGGTGTATTGATGGTTTCTGAACAGAAGGGTGGTCCTTCCTGGAAGCCTCTGAGATTGGAATTTCATTTTGGATGTCTTCCTTATGGGCAGCAACATCTCATAGTTAGACTGGGATTGCACAGAAGCAGACCTGCCTGCAAACCATCGCTGTTGTGTGGGGGCCTAGTGGTAACAGCATCTTCTGAGCAGTCCTGTGCTGGGTTGCTTGCAAAATCAAGAGGAAGCAGTGTTTACCCCAGAATAGCTATTCCATGTCATTATGATAAGGAAGGCAAACTGCTGGAATTATTCATTAAAACTGAATCTAGCAACAGGTTATCATGCAATCTCAGTAAAAGTTGAGATTGACCCAACAACTTCTGCTTGGAAATATATATTTAGACTGTGATAGATTTGCCTGGGTTTTTCCTGATTTCCTGATCCACCTGTTTTCCTCCTCTTTTTTTCTTTTTTTTTTTAACAGGAAAACACGACATGTGAATATCCTGCTTTTCATGGGTTATTCAACAAAACCCCAGTTGGCAATTGTTACACAATGGTGTGAGGGGTCCAGTTTATATCACCATCTACACATCATTGAGACCAAATTTGAAATGATAAAACTAATTGATATTGCACGACAGACTGCACAAGGCATGGAGTAAGTATCATATTACTTGTTTGCAAAAGAGTGTTGAGGCAATGTTTACTTATCCCCTTCACACTCTGACTGACGCTGGCAAATAAGGCCAGCTGTCTGCTTACTTTGCCAAGCCCAGGGTCCTGCCTTGATGATCAAAGCCTTTGGTGAAATGTTTATTATTTTGATTAGTAAATAAACTTCCTGTCCTTTTTTTGAATATAGGGAAATACAAATCATCAAGGAAATATAGTCTTAGACAGTAGAATAAAGATAATTACAATGTATTAAACTTCCAGTCTTGTGGGCAAAGATTTCTCTTCCAGGCTTTACAGTCTTCACAGTGCAGATAGTCACGGTAGGAGGTAAAACATAGTTTAAAAAGAAACACCCTGTGAACAAAAGGACAGAATCCTGGAAGATAACACAGAAAGCAGGCAGCCCTGTTAGCGAAAGGAATCGATTTTTTTTCTCCTGTTCTTGTAAGTATTGTAGCTCTCTAAATAATAGATTTCAACATTTGAAGAAAACGTACCTATTTTGTTCTAAGGCCTGTAAGTATTCCTTACTCCCATAGAGGGCAATTGAGTGAGTTAGAATTTATAAAAATAGTCCAATATTGTGTGTCAAAATCAGAACACTGACAGTAAGATCAGAGAAATCGCCCTCCAGCTGCAAAACTGCTATGATGATTGCAGTTCATTGTGCCATTTCTCTAGTACGTATTCTATTACATTTTCAGTCGAGGTGGGGAAGTGTTTGCAGTAACCAGCCTCAGCCCTCTGTTAGTCTGCTCATCTCCCCAGGCTCCCTCTGTAGGCAGTGGAAGTGCAGAAGCTGTTTTATGAGCATGATTCAAAGCAGAAACATGAACTGGGGCTTTTCCAGCAGGTTTGTGCCAATCTCACTGACTAAACAAAGAGCCATGGGAGACTACTTGCCTAATTTAGGCTGTATCTATGCTGTGGTGCTAGTACTGTCCTCTGTGTTCCCTGCAATCTATTTATCCAGTCTGCAATCAGGGCATCTTTTTTCCAGTCCCATACTAAAAAGCAGTCAGCATACTGGAGTACACGCTGAGACTGGGAAGTACATTTAGCTCCTGCAATTTAGAAACACCTTGGCTAAAGCTGTGACTAGCCCACAAAGTGTCTTGACAGTCACCATTAAGGCTGGGAGGCAGAACCTTCAGCACTGAATGGCATGTCAAAAACTACTGGAGTTCTTTCATTCTGAATATTGACTTAGAACTGAAAAGCAGAAGTTGGTGCATAATTAGTATTTCATTCCTCAGTAGCATCTGGTTTGAGCTGGAAATCTAAGCTATGGGTTTTTTTTCCTGTTGCAGGAATTGTCATTTTAAGGGTAACTGACATTTTATCACCTTGATAAATAAACTGACATTTTATCACCTTGATAAATATGTGCAGTTTGAATATCTAAGGAATTTGTGTTTCAGTAATACAGTAAATTTTGAGTTGTTGATTAGTGAAATATCATTTAATCCACCTAATTTATGATGTTCCTTTTCAGTTATTTGCATGCCAAGTCAATCATCCACAGAGACCTCAAGAGTAATAGTATCCTTTCTCAGAGATGTGATTGTGGAACATGATGGCATTCCTGTTTGGGGTTGTTTTGGGGTTTTTTTCTGCCAGAAATGAACTTACTGATGTGAAAAGCTGCTCACGTGTGAATATTAGGTGAGTTGAAATTTCATTGAGAAGGGGTAATAGTGAAGTAAAGAATACTTACTGTGTCTGTTGATGAGCTTGCACTAACATAGCAAGTTTTGTTGTGGTATGACAAAGATTTTTGCGTCATTCGATCTTGATGTGTAATGAAAGATTACACCAGTTCACTTACGGAATATATTCAGCTTTTCTCATACTTGGCACTTCAAGAACGCCACCTGGGCCATGGTCTGTTTAGCACTGGCCCAGTTGTTTCTTATGTAACCCTTAAGTACCATAATTCACCATGCTGACTGCTTAGAACCTGTGTTACATGAAAACCTTTTTCAGTGATGGTGGATGGTTAAAACTGTTTTGTCTAATGATGCAGATCTGTAGCTGTTTATTGTTCTTGTAGGACAGGACCAGTACTGCTTGTTTGTTTTCCCTTAACATTTCCTCCTTAGATATTTTTCTTCATGAAGACCTCACAGTAAAAATAGGTGATTTTGGTCTAGCTACAGTGAAATCACGATGGAGCGGATCCCATCAGTTTGAACAGTTGTCTGGATCTATTCTATGGATGGTAAGCAAGGGGAAATGGTGTGTTTGTTTCAACAAATTTAATTGCCTTTGGCCAAAGTTTCTGAGACTGTCCTTCCAGCACACTGACATATACAAGCTGTCTTAAGCTGGAAAAGACAAGCAGTAATACAAAGTACTAAATGAGTGCTTTTCAGTTCTTCTCTAAGAATATGTTTTCCAGTACTCAGCAAAAAAACTTTAGTGTCTTCATCACTTGTTTAAACTGAAAAGAAAATGGTGGCTAAGGAGAAAGGGTATGATTAATCCAGAGTTGAGGAGAAGGTAAGAAAAGCCATGGAAAACATCTTGCAAAGGAACAGAGAAACATAAGATTCTCTTACGTTTTAATGATTCAAGCATGGTTACTTTCAAGAGGTCGTACAACTTGCTTGAGTCTTAATAAGAAGTATAGTTACAACCTCCTGTGCAACTCTGCTTTCTCCTTTTCTCACTGAAAAAACTGAAGGCTCCGTTAGTTGGTATTATTTTCAGTGTTGGTATAATTTTAGTTATAGCTTCTCAGCCTGGGCAAGGTCGTTTTGTTCTGTCATAGAGGAATAAAGGGATGACCAAGCTAAAATCAACCAATGGATTTTGACATTCATAGCAACATCCACTCTGTGTTAGGACCCAGTAACATCTGAAGACAAGAGTGGGCCTTGCATCTGTTATACTCCGGACAAGGCCGTGTTTTGTTCCTGATGTGTGAGGTGCAGCCCAATGTGGTGAAATAAACACAAATCCTTTCCTTTTATGGTACAGGCACCAGAAGTTATTAGGATGCAAGATAAAAACCCATATAGCTTTCAGTCGGATGTGTATGCATTTGGGATTGTACTTTATGAATTGATGACTGGACAGTTACCATACTCAAACATCAACAACAGGGACCAGGTAAGGGAAGGGAAGGGATTGACTTCAGTCAACTATGGCCTGAAACAGAGATTGATTCAGCCTTGTGAAGTGCACATTTTGACGTTTTGTGTATTTGATTTATGTTTCTGATTTTGATGTTATGAGATGTTCTTACATTTTGTAGATCTGCCTCAGCCATGAATTTACTTACTTCTACTAATGTACTTACTTCTCTTGAGGTTGATTTTTTTTTTTTTTTTTGTTCTTTTTTATTTCGAGTACAGATTTTCAGCTTCTGAGCTGGTTGCCAGGATACTTATTAGGGAGAGAGCAGGTTACTTAATAGTAATCTAGTTTAGAATACTTCTGCAAAGGCAAAATGATCCTCTATATGTTTAGTTATTCTTCAGTTTGAGGTTTTTTTCCTCCCTCCCCTTGTATTAAATAGTAGTTCAGCAACAGGATTGACAAAATGGAACAGCACTCATCTCGCTGAATGTTTTATATTCATTTCTATCTTGAGAAATGTAGGCACCATCTAACTGATTTTCAGGATATCAACATTTCTCAAATCCTGCGTGATGGAGTATATGACTTTCCAGACTGTGTGAATCCTGTAAGAAGATTACTTAATTGTGAACAAATATTCCTTAAGTCTAATGATAGGACATGCCTGTAATACATCTCCACAGGATAGGCACGTTTGCAAAGGCATATCTGATTCATTAGTTCTCTGTCTAATCTGAAAATAGTATCTACGCATAAAGATCTTTGGTGTAAACTATTTCACGTCTGGGTGGTGATATATTTATGTTGTTTCTGTGTCCGCATCCCTTGTTTTTTCACTGTCAGTACTTGAGAATTGCAACCATAGCAACGTTCATCTGTGAATGCCATTTTATAAGGCTGCTTCCATATTTGTCAGAACACTTCATCCCAACTCATCAAGTTTGGAGTGACTCGTTTTTAAATTATTCTTATTTTTATTTTTAATTGTTTTTGCCTTTTGAAAGAATGAAAATGTCCAGATTCCTGGCCAGATGGATATAGCCTTCTAAAAGCAGTATTTGGGCATTGTTTTAGTTTTACCTTTTGAGATTTGAAAGATTAATGCAGTGATGTGGGTGCTCACTGTTGAGTGCTGAAACAAATTCTAATTTTCAAGTGAAGCCAACATACAAAATGTGATTTAATGTTTTGTCACTCCCAGTCTATTGTCTGAAAAGATGTAAATATTGCTCACTTACTGTTGGTACATCTACATCAGCTACTATGACACAACTGAGATTCTCAGTGAGCAAAGCATCACTCTTGTTAGTGTTTCTCTCACCTTAACAGATTTTTCTAGACAGACTAGGACTGTTCTTCCTGTGATAACTCTCTTTTCTCTAGTTAAAATAAAAGTTTAATTCCTGTATTATTTGTAGAGAGAGTATCAGAAACATAAATAATTAATTTTTAATAATTTCAAATTAAAGATTATAATTTAGAAAAGATTAATTTATATATGATGATAGATCTCATTGCAGCAGAAGTAAGGGATGGGGTAGACAAATTTTTACTATGAGATGCTGCTCTGGCACATGGGGGTTTCTAAAGAAACCATATGGGAGTTTTATACTCCTCCTTGATGCCAACACAGATGCGATTGAATCAAAAAGTTGAAAAAGGACCAGGATTGTGTTAGTATAAATAACATGTATAGCTTGCTTGAGATGTGAGGTTTTTCTCTTTGATATTTTTTTTTTGTCAGTGTCAAGATATGAAAGAGTTACACTTCATTAAATATAAAGTCTGATACACCTGCTAGGTCTGTCTGAGTATTCAGAAAAGGTAGTGATTATCTAGTTTGAAAGGGCTTTTAAGTGTCAGCACAAGTGCAGTACTCAAACCACGTTGCATTTGACCTTGGCTCAACTTGGTGATGTTTGATGGTTTTTTATATATCTGAGAGAACAGTAAGCATATTCATGTTTTGCTTTCCTGCTTACTCTTCATTTACTTTGTGTTATGCTTAAGTTTTATCCTTAGGTGAAATATAAGCCTCCTGTGTTAAAGAAATTACTGTAAAAACACAAAGCCTGTCTCTGCTTCTACAGAGGAGAGGCAGTTTCTCTTTTTCTTTCATGGGTTTTTTTTTGGGGGGGTGGGGAAGGTGGTCAGATGTCCATTATAAGCTTTTGTGGTGGAAAAGTATATGAAGGCATTTATTCTCAAAAGATAAGGGGTTTTAATATCTGAGGTTCATGTGTTTCTTAAAACACCTTTCAGTGTGAACTTGCTGTTCACTTACATTATAAAACAGAATATTTATTTTTACAGAATATTTATTTTTAGGCATTCTGTTGCTTATTCTTGTTCCTGTAACAGCTTTTGACACCGAAGAACAGCTCCTTAGATGGTTATTGCTATAAATGGTAACCATTTACTAGTGTTCAAATTTCACAAAAATCTCTCTTAGGAGGAGGAGGAAAAATTTTTTTTTTTTTTTTTTTTTTTTTTTCTCTGTACTGAATAGGTTAGCAAGCATTACTCTTAAGAAACTTGGCAGTTTCAATACCAGATAATGTTTCCTGGGAGCAGAAAATTTGCTGCTGGGACTAAAATGGTCTAGCAAAATGTTAATGTTTTGTTACTGTTTATTTTATGGACTCACCTTCTTCCCCTTCTGTCTTTTTTCCCCTTAAATAAAGATAATTTTTATGGTGGGACGAGGATACCTATCACCAGACCTCAGCAAAGTACGGAGCAACTGCCCGAAAGCTATGAAGAGACTAATGGCAGAATGTTTAAAAAAGAAAAGAGATGAGAGACCCCTTTTTCCACAGGTGAGAAATATTCCTCTTTTATTCTCAATAGACTTTACAATTCAAATATTAAAACCAAAGATCAGTTATGAACTCACTGCTGAAATTTTTTTTATTACTGCTATAGCACTCTTCTTAAGAGTACTTGTTCAGTACCTGGTGAGTGCTGTTTAATTAGAAAAGTTTATTTTCAATTTGAAAAGCAGGTATTAAAATGACCTGTGTAGTTGGAAAAGCATTTGTGTGTTGGAGAAAGTTTCAACTGGGAGATGGTATCTAATTGCAATTATTAATTTCACTAATTAGAACTTGGTGTATTTTCTCAGAAATCTTTATACGCCCCTCCTTGCTCTCCCCAAAACTTTATGAAGGGAATAGTTTTGTCACAAAACTTGATGTATCGTGCCTGCTGAGGGAGGTTTGGATTCTAAAGGCTTGGAAGAGGACCTTTTTGTTTGGTTTGTTTTGAAGCGTTTTCAAAAACTAAGGAGCTCCCCCTGCTGTCTTTATGGTAAATGGTATTCAGCAAACTGCTGCCAAAGCTGCGTTTATTTGCAGCAATGGTGGGTATAGGTACTAGTGCATAAACAAGGAGGCAAATAAAAGGCAACTATGTTCATTGTGCTTACAGAAGGAAATCAGTATACCCTTTTAAAGGGAAAAATTAGATAATTTCTTCCAAAAATGTCCTCTTCAGCTTTTTGAGGATGTAAACGTCAGAGTGCAATGCAGTAATCTATTTTTTAAAGTTTGTTTAAATTTGTGTATAAATATTTTTCTGTAGCTAATTGATGTTCTGCCTTTGATTTTAACAGAATGTTACAACTTTGGAACAACAGATTTGATCACTTACTTTCTACTTGTTTTAGATTCTTGCCTCCATTGAGCTTCTGGCCCGGTCATTGCCAAAAATTCACCGCAGTGCATCTGAGCCCTCATTAAACCGGGCTGGCTTCCAGACAGAGGATTTTAGTCTATATGCTTGTGCTTCTCCGAAAACGCCCATCCAAGCAGGGGGATACGGTGGGTTTCCAGTACACTGAAAAGAAATGTGAAAGCATGTGCCTGTGTGTCTGTGTGCTGGTGTGTTTCTGTGAGTACAACGCATGTGTACGTTCTCAGTTCCTACCAGCTGTGGGTTTAAGGTTTACTGACGGAATGAAGACTCACTTCCTAACGTTGGGCATTGAATGTCCCAAGTGCACAGTCTGTGTTGGTGAGGAATGCCCTGGAAACAGCTTGCACAAGAAGAATTATAAGGTCACATAAGAGAAATGGGAAAAGTCACTTCAAAACAAGCAAAAATCCTTTTAAGGTCATTGGGTGTCATTTTTGCTTGTCTCTGTCATTTTTGCTGAGTTTATTAATTGGAATTAGTTACTCAGGAGTGTATTTGATTTTAATCTACTCAAGCTACGGTGTGTGGGGGTTTTTTTCACTTTGGTTGAGGTCATTATATTTGAGCAGTAGGCTTTAGATTCTTCAGTAATGTTACTCATATGTGGGCAACAGTCAGAAAAACAAACTTAGCTTCAGAGCTGAGCACAGTCAAAACTTCTTGTGGTCAACAGAAGTGAGCAGATACAACACAGAATCCAAAGAAGGACCTTAGTGATATGTGACTTATTTTGAAAGCTGAAGTTTAAAATAGTGCTGTTTAGAGACCATCTCTTCCTGCAGAGGAGTGGTTACGTGGGGATTTTCTTAATTTTTATTTTTGCCTAAATACTCTGACCTGCCATAGTTTAGACCATCTCAAAATCTCCTATTACAACATAGAAGAAATTCTGAATCTGCTTTTGCTGAACTGCAAGAATATTACTGGTAATGGTGTCTGTATCCTTCAATTAGCATAGCTTTAAAAAAAGTAAATCTCGAGCATAACCAAATACTTTGAAAGAAAAAGTCTGCTAACACCCATAATAGGAAAAGAGGATTTGAAAAGCAGTTGTTTTCATGGAAATCAGTATTATACCGTGAATTCTGTTAAAATGAAAGATTTTAATTAAGATTGTTAAGAATACCACTAAACATGCTTCTGTTCAGTGACGAATTGTTCACTTCCATATAAATGTTGCTAGGTTGTCTAGAAGTGAATCAGACTAGATATCTAACTGACAAAGCTAGACACCTTACCAAGATCCTGTCAGCTCACTGTAAAGATTGTATTTTTCTCTGCAGCATTCCTCTGGAGCAGGTGTATCAGAGTAGTATTTCAGGTTATATCAGTCTTTGATGTCAGCTATGAAAATAGTAATTTTATTGGCTGTGTTCTTGCATATTTTGAAATTCGTTATGTGGTTTTGTTTATTTTAAACTGCTAAGCTAATTTTCACAGATTCTTCTGCATTGGAAACAAGCTATTGCTGCTCTTGTTAAGACTTCAAGGGCCGGGAATGTTCTTGATGGCTTCTGATTTTCATACTTGTAGAGGAGTTTGCATGTTGCTAGCAATTTGAAATAGATCAGAAATTCAAAAAAGGTTTTCTTTTCTGCTGTCTGGCAACTGAGCTTTTTAAAACAGGAGGCAGAGTTAGAGACCTTGAAGAGATGTCGGCAATTCGTACATTTTCTAGCCAGATTCTAAGGGTCTTTTTGGCTTTTGCTGTTGGAACTAACTTTTCTCATTTTGTTAGTCAAGAAGACTCAGCTGTTGAAATCTATCTCTGTCGAAATAGTTATGGAGGGTGAAATTTGTTACTGTTTTAGAAAATGTTTCCCATCTTTCTGGTAGTTTCACCTCATTTTGGCAGGCTTATCTTAAAATGAAAACAGAATTTAAGTGTGTTTTTCCACTCCTATTCATTTTTATTTTTTTTTCTCCATAGTGAGGAGGAATGCTTCTTAAGTTTTGGGGTATAGTATTCAGTACAGGCTATGATGCCCATCTCAATCAGAGCAGGAGGGTGCTGCTGGGTCTCCTGCAGAATCTAGAAATGTGGTATCCCACACGGAAAAGGCTTAACCACACAGGGAGCTAGAGGGTGCAGAACCATCATTGCTGCCCTGCCCAGGCTTACTCTCTTTCAGGTCTGCCAGATCAATTCAAACAAGTTATTCCTTGGACTAGTATTATCCTCCTTGTTAAGATTGTTCTGTGCTTATAGGAATTACAGTTATGGGGAGAAAATTGCTGCCATCCTTAGACACATTTGGCCCCATTTTCTACTGTACAGTGTGTTAGACTTCTTCCTGTGTCACCTGTTCTTACACATCAAGCGTGGTTCAGGATCCATGGCCATAATGTGATCTTAGCTTCTCGCTAAACATTTTATGAAGCCTGAAAGGAGGCTGGGTTTAGTGGATCTTTAACTTTATCTGACATAAAAGCATTTAGGGATTTAAGTTCTGTAGTTTGCTATTGCTGCTTCAGTGAGATTTGGGAACACATATAGGATGAAGTTGTCTAAATACACCTGGGAATTTGGGTCAGTGTTCTTCAAAATGCAACTCAGCTGTATTGTTTAGAAACTTTAAAACTTTTTGGTCCTGAAAACAGGCCTGTAGGATCCCAAGCTTTTCTGGAGAGGTAGTTTATACTATATGAGATTCCTTTTTTCTTTACTTCTCTGTATCTCAGTATAGAAACAAAATCTGTCTTAGTACTTTATAGAATGACCAGATCCTCGTAAACACTGTTATCCACATCAGTGTATGTTCCATATTCTTATTTAGCTAGTGTGTGGTATCCATCCTAGAAGATCAGCAGAAGATCCAACAGAAACTGTCTCTTTGTCATACTTTTTCCTGTGTCCTTGAATGTAATCCAGTCAAGGTGTTGGGATTTGGTGTTTCCCTTTGATGTCAGTTATTCTCTACTTAATAGATAAGGCTGGCACAGGTCTGGAAGGGAACTGTTCTTCTCCGTACAGTTCTTCTGAGAAACAAGGTATCTACCCCAGGATAAGGAGTATAGTTAACATGCTGTGTATATCTTAATAACCTCATAAATCCAGGTAACTTATAAATTTGTGAGTAGAGATTGGTAACTGCATCTTAAATCCTTCCAGGAATCGGGCAGCAGGTTCGTTCAGAAGGCACCCTTATAACATACTCTTTGGACACAACATGAAAGAACCTGATCATCTCTTTAGTACAGACTTTTTGAAAGTGTGCATTTAAAGTAGTTTCCACTTGCTTTACGTGTAATGAGCATGAGAAGACGGTAGTCACTGACTTGAAAGGGTTCTGCAAGAAGTGTAGGTCTTCAAATGTTATCCATCCTTCGGAAAGGAATTTCTTTGTTACCAGTCTAAGAAAGTATCTGGAGTTCTGATTGGTAAAAAGTGCATCAGATGTCTGGCTCACAATGGATTAAGATGTCTGCTGGGTTTGGGGTTTTTTTTCACATCCCAAATTGCTAAGTATGTGATTTCATAGCTTCATGGTAAGCTTATCTCGTTTGGAGCAACCGCAGTCCAGCTTCTTACCCTTGCACTGGCAGATGCTCTCCAATTCCATGAGTCCATTCTGTGCAGTTGAGTGGGTTCCCCTCACCATCAACAGAGCAGCTCTCCAAAAACTGTTTAGAAAACTCTTCTTGCCTACCAGCCTGAGCTAACATTTGCAAGGTCAGCTCCTTGAGCCATCTTGCCTCAGGGCCAGATAGTGCCAGTGTGGCACAACGGGCAGGTCACTGCCTTACAGCTCAGGTCAGGAGGGAGAGTGGGATTATAGTAGTCCCATTTTAGATTATCATTGGTCATTACAGAACTGTGTTCAGAGGTTTAGCAGTGCAGAATTGGGATGATCCTGTTCCTGCAGGACAGGGCATACTGAGACATGTTCCTAAAGCTGTCTTCATTTTGTCCATTCACTGAACTGAGGCAAGACCTTCCTGTCCTGCCAGAAAATGGTGAATTCACAGTTTCAGGTTACCTCATTTATGTATATGCATCTAAGTCTCAGAAAGAGAGGTTGCCTGTGTTCTCTCTCCCTCTCCTACAGATGAAGTTTCTTTTAGAAGATAAAAGAAACAGCTACAGATATTTTATATCTTCAGAACAGAAAGGTTGACATAAAGCATTTTAGCTGCTCTTGAGAAACTCCTGTCAACACCTAGCAGGATGGAAGATTACATGGATAGGTGTAGCCATCTACATTCCTCATTTAGGGAAAGCTGTTAACTGCATTTTATACATGTTCAATTGACAAAATCCCATTATTAGACGAATGTGTTACCTATTTCGGTCTCCTATTGATTTGAGATCAGATTAGCACCCGAACTTTGAAAGAAGAGATTTAGCATTAGCTTGTCAAAGAAAGTGTCTTTGCTAAAGTTTTATTTAAATGGCAGAAAAGTCTGAACATCACTTCTTTATAGCTACCATTCTGTCTTAAATGCTTCTTGACTTCTGATCCTGTTTTTGCATTGCCCTTTTCCAATTAATCATTTGTCTTTTTATCTTCCAGAATCTCTGCACAACTATTAAAAGCTGAATTATAACCAGAAATGGGCAGAAGGACAAGATGAGTAATGAGGGAGCCATCTCTTGTTTAGAAATTGATCTTTAATCAGCAGTTTAGGAAGGCAGACTGAAAAATAAATTAAGTAGAGCATGTTTTGAAAGTTTAACTAAGCATGAATATCGTTCTTAAAAATTAGCATCACAGGCAGTACTTGATGACTTTTTTTGTCCTTCTCTTAAATGAAAAAAAAGTACAAAAATTGAGGTGTTTTTAGAAGGTAATGTGAAAAGAGTTGAGAGATAGGTGAAATGTGTTAGAGAAACAAGAAAAATTTTCAAATATTCAGAGTATTTTAGAGCAAGGGTTTTATCTGTTGGGAAACTGGTAAATTAGACAATTAAATCCATCATGAAGTTTTTATTCTTTTGTTGTTATAACTTAAACCTACCACCACAGTGTATCAAGACACAGAGCTTGAGGTTTGTCACAGCATCCTGTGCCAGCCACTCCTAGTTTAGACCTTGGATGTACTCCCTTCTCATTTCCTACCATGCACAGAGCCCTCTCCACATGTTCTTCATGTTCCCTTAGATCAGCTGAATCAGCTGTTCCTACCAGGCCCTGTAGATGCCTTTTCTTCCCCCTTCTTGTGCAGACTGCTGATCACTCTTGGTTCTCTTCTTTATAGAGCAAGACATTCCATGGAATTAATGCTGTCGGCCTAAAATTCTGTTTGCAGGGATGTTTCTGATTTGTTTCCAATATTCAGAATAAGAATCTCAATGAAAAAAAAAAGCCAACAAAACACTTGCTCTTGAAAGGATGGAAGGATAAGAAGATAAGGAGCAATTCTTTGGATGTAATGGCATTCAACATTCTTATGTTGAACAGAACAAATAATCTCTTATGCCTGCTTGTCACTCCTTCATTATTAGAAGAGCTCTGAGGAGTGCTCTTAAAAGGACATAAACTAACGCAAAATTCACATGAAACCACGCTCAGGGAATTTATATGTATGTTTCTTTTTCTCTTGGTCATGAGTCCTTTTGGTTAAACACAGTTGGGACAACCCTCCCTAAAAATCCTATAGAATACAATATTGTTGCAGGTGGCAGGAAAATTTTGTGGCTGAAGTATAAGATTAAGAGGATGAATATCTTATGTTCAGCTTTTATTCAGTGTTCTGGCAAACTTCTTCAGATTTTGGGCAGTGATTTTACTCTATGCCATAGTTTAATCATCTTTGAAATGGGACTACTAGTCTATCTCATGGCATGCTGACACTAGATAAAATATGTAGAATTTCAGGACATCACTGAATGTGAAAGCATTGCACAGAATTATTGATTATTCAGTAATTCTGAAGGAAGTATGGGGTTGCTTTATTTGTTGTGCTCCCTATTAGCAAGGCCTAATTTCTGGTCTGGGAGTGAGTAGACAACCTCACGATTCTTATTTTTCTCACAGTAGGTTGCTATGTTGGTCTCTAAACCAGATCCTAGCCTTCTTTAATACTGGTTTAATATTCAGGCACTTTATATAGTCTTTAAAGGTTAATGGGTGTGTCAAATAGTCTTTGTTAAACCAGGTTTACCCCAGAACAGAAATTAGCTTGCAGTCTGACACATTTATTGCAGTTGTTGCTTTTCAGGAGGATATATGTGCAATAAGGAGCTTAAAGTGAAATTGAACTGACACATTTTATTTTCAAATGCATGATAAATTGGACTTTGCTTGAACTTTCAGACCTCTGTCTTGGGAAGAACGGGTACAGCTTGCTTTCAAGAAATTCTTTTTCGGTAAAATATGCTGGGTCTGTATTCAGTGTTCTCTCGCTATGTATTCTTTTATGCTTTAATTTTAACAGTTTGCATTTTTTAACATCTTTTATATTCAACCTGTTGTTCAACTAGTCTGGATAAAACCTCTGACCACCTAGTAACTGGAATCACTTTTTTTAAACCAAGCTCTTGTCCTCCCTCTACAGGAGAATTTGCAGCGTTCAAGTAGCCACAGCGCCATGGCAGCACCCACTCTGTTATTTAAGTCTTGTGTTCCTACAGTTTCTTAACATCAGAACTCTATTCTGCTCCGCAAAACCTAAAGTAATTTAGAAAAGATATCCATAAGCTTAAAAGTGGAGCAGAATGGAACTGCCAGTCCAACACAATGGGAAAAAATATCTTTTTTGGGAACCAGAATCCTCTGCTGCCAGTGTTTCTCCTTCAACACAAACCACCACGTGCATTTGGAGACCCGCAGTGGCTGCCTGTGCCGTTGGCATCATTCCCCGGAGAGAGGAGAGTGCACTCGTGGTTTGACTGTGGTGCTCGGGCATGAGGGGATGGAACTGCTGCTGCAACTTAGGAGACTTGCTTTGGATGGTCTGCCAGTCGGCTTTCTCCCTCTAACAACATCCCATCAGAGGCTGAAAATCTGATGAGTGCTAATTTAAGAGAATCATCTTCTGTTCTGATCTTTTTTCCCTGGTGTACTCACTGATTTATGGACAATGCAGTATCCCCTTTTCACTGTATTACTAATTCGAACACCTAAATATGTCTATATAATTGGGGTTTATTCCAGTAAAATTGAAAGTGTGGGGTGATGGGAGCTATAGAAGATGTTACTCTAAAGGCAAAGAGGTTAATCTGAAGGAAAAGGGGATGTTGCTGTACCTTTTTTCAGATTTACATTATCACTTCTTCAAAAAACAAACAACCACCACCAACCTTAACCTTTTTCCTTTTCCAGTATTTTCTTGGTGTGTGCATATACAACATCTTTTAGAAGGATTAGGTAGATCCGTCTTTTGTTGGTCCAGCAACAAACTGAAGTTTAAAAAAAAAAAAAATGTAGCGAGATTGTCGAGATTGTCCTCTCTCTTTTTTTTTTTTTTTTTTTGGTATCATATGATACAATGTATTTATCAAAGATGCTACCACAGCATCTGAAGTCTGTAGAGTTCCTGATACAGACTGTGAATGGTGTATGTACCTACTTTAAAAGTTTTATTTTAAACGAGGGTGCAGGTTAATGCCAGGTACCTTACCAATATGTAATGTTTTCATAAATGAGGAAAAAAGTTCTCAGGTTGAATTGAATACAAATACAAAACCCCCTAGAATTAGACATTCCGAAAATTATGTTTTGGTACTTTCAAGAGCTTTTTTTAAAGGATTTTTATCCTGTTAAACGTCCTCTGATAAGTGTGTGTGTAAATGTGGAGCATCTTGTCCTAATGGCAAGTTGTTAGATCAAAACAAAGCGGTACTTGCTGGATCCACACTGACTACTTCTCCTCTCATTGCTTTCTTCCCTGTCATCTCTTCCCTTCCGTTTCATCTTTCCCTTTTGTACACTTTGCAAACTAGGATGAAGGTGGCGGTATCTCCATTGGTGTCCTTTGTTTTCCTGTCCTCCAATCCTGGTTTTCAAATGGTTGGTAGCTTTTTGGCAAGTTACCCAGTCAGGGAAAAAACTCATAAAGTTCTTCACATCATTTACCTCTAGTAAAATATCTTGTGATGTGATCTGTTTGCAAAGTTCTCTGGTATGTGGTATTACATGTAAATTATTTGTACAGAGGCAAGTCAGACAACATTAGAAAGAAATTCAAGCTCAGACAAGTTTTCAGAATTTGATCCGTATCTGCCCTGTACCACTCCAGGTGAGGCAGGAGAACCAACCTGCCTCTAGCAGGAAGGTTCTTGCTGGTGGGAGGAGGGGAGTGTTAAACAAAATTGTGACAAATAAATGAAGGAGTTAAATGCGTGTGAATGTGGTGTCCATGCTAAACATTGGGGTGTATCGGGTGAGGACACTGTCCTTCCCTCCCTAGTAGAGTTGGACTGTTTCTGTCTGCAGAAGGGTGCTCCCAGGCGAAGGGAGAAATGCACATCGGTAATGGAACGTGCTCTTAAAACCCTGGAGTTCTGCGGTGTTGCTGGTAGTCTGTTATGTTTGTCAGTAAATATTTACTGGGGTTATAGGGACCAGACTAATTTGAAGTGGGAATTATAATTGAAATACTGTGTATTCATATTAATTCCACAAACATTAGCAAGACAGCAATAGTGAATGACTTAATAGTCACTACAAGAATGAAGTGATTCATGTTGGCACATGAATAAAATTGATTTTGTGTACAGGATGCATTTTTTTTTAAAAAAAAAAAAAAAAAGCACAAATTTTTTCTTGTCTGCTGTGGGTCTTCAGATGCTGTAAGGTTTTTTTCCTTATTGAGATTGGCAGGAATTTAAATAGTAGCAATAGCCACTTTCCAGTGTGGAGAAGCTAATGAGCAAGCGGTGGTGTGCAGATAGATGAAATCAGAGTGCTTGTGCTCCCTGGTGATCATCTGAGGCCACTGGGGTCAGCAGGCAGGTGAGAACACCTACAGATACAGACTCCCAGGGGGTGAAGTAGTCACTGCTCATTCTCCTTCCACCCCATAAATTGCTTCAACCCCTCTATGGGCTGTGGCCTAATTTGTACATGGCAGTCATACTGGAAATTAATGTTCTCTCAAAAGAAACTGTTATCGGAGCAAGTGTGTACAGGTGGTTCAACAGTCATTTGTTTCACAGAGCTTGTTAAAAGCCCTAGTTTCCTTCCCCAAGGTCATGCTGGCAGAATACATCTGCTAAAACATAACTGTTGGGAATTTCATTCTACCTTTGCTTAAAATGAACTTATTTTCGTGAAGATTGATTACCCATTAGTCTACAATATGCTTCTTGAGCCCGTAGGAAAAGCACAAGGAAAATTGCCATCCTTGTCCATGCAAAGCACTTTATAAGTAACACATGATCTCTGGGTTTTTTTTATTGGGGTTGGTTTGTTTGTAGTTTTGTTTTTCTGGTTTGGGTTGTTTTGTTTTTTTTCCCTGAGGAATGTGCAAGTTGTTTGGCTGCTGTTTAGAGAAGTCCTTTCAGGATGCATTTCTACTGGTTTTTACATTTATTTCACTCCAGATAGATGTAGTACTGTGTTTGTAAGAGGTCCCACGTAATACTCATGCAAAACTGTGGAAGAAATTTGGTTTGTAAATAGCTGAGATTATCATCTTTTCTATCTTTTTCTTCAGAGATTTTTTTGGATGTCTTTCATGCCATCAGAACCAGTCTTAAAGGTGCCCTGTAGATGTTTAGTTAATGAGGAGAACTGAATGCCCTGTATAGCAGCCGGATGAAGGAAGTAAACTGAAATGACCCACACATTCATGTCCCTTACACCAACTTTTCTGTAGTGTCCCAACCACAAACACATGTCATAGTATGGAAACGCTAGTATATATTTTGTGTACATGTGTTGGGGCAAACATCTAGACAGTCACACTGCTTTTAGCTCTACAGTATCTAATACCTAAATTATTTGCAAAACTACCAGTATCCAATCCCAGCTATTTGTATTTGTATGCATACACCTTACCCTCTGCCTTTCCTTTTCCATACTGTTAGAAGAGGCCTTTTATCTGTTGCATCTTACTTGTCAGTACGTGATTGTTTCCTGCAGCATATTTGCTGGAACTGGAACATTGTAGTGGAGCTTAAACCAAATGGTATGGCTAGAGGCCTAGTTGTTTTGGAAGTAATTTTTGAGTGAATTGAGTCCTATATGGCCCCAGATACAATTAGTTCAGTCATTTATAATTTTTTTTTGCTAAACTCATGTAGGTCATTAAATGAATCTACTTCTGGTTTTTATGCTTACCTAAATCATCTTTACTTGCACTTGAATGCTCTGGCAGCTGATGATGCAGCAGAATGTTTGCGGCCAAATACTGCCACCTTATCATGGCCTCTCAGCATCATTTGGATTAGTATGTGCTCATCAGAGGCAGAATTTGGCCTTCATATAAAATGAGTGAAATGCTGACTGTTGATAAATACCACATCTTTCCACAAACACCCAAACTGGGGGGAAAAATACACTGAAGAGCAACCATAAATAGGTTTGCTTCTGTGTTTGCCTGGTGATGTAAATGCATCCAGCATTTTACAGAACATTTGGGGGAAGCCAGATCCCCAGAAACCTCACAAACTATTACAAGCTGAAGTTTTGATAGCTGGAGGGGCTAAATTTAGGGAAGAAGCATGTAGACATTTCACACTTTTGCAGCCTATAGATTTCATTCCCTTCTTGACTGTGAGTGCAGCATGTGTAGCACAAACTATTCATAGTACTGTAGACAACATGTCTTCTGTCTGTTAAAAAAAGCATCACCAGTAGCACAATGCAACAGGCAAAGCTTCTAGGTACAGTCAAGTTCAGTAAAAGCAGTTGCATGAGTGGACTGTTACAGCATCACTTGAAGGTGTTCTGGTTTTCTGTTATGGATTTTATGTAGAAGTTTATGAAATGAACTTTGTTTACTGCAGCCTTGTTAATATGCATTTGCACTTCGTATTTGTTTTGGCATGCATTTTAAATATTTCTTCATTGCTTCGTAACTTCTTACCTAGTAAATAAAATTATCAGAAGAGCGGAGCAGAACCAAATTTTTAAAACTTTATCTTTGTATTTAAGTTTCCAGGATGCTAACACAGAAACTACTAAATCAGCACCATGACAGCAGTAAATAACTACGAAACTGTGGAAGGAGGAAACTTTAAAAACAGCAGAACATAGAGTACACCAAGAGTGAATTCAGATGAAAATTAGCACATCTCTTTAGAAAAGACAGCTACCACGACCCTCTGTTAAATGGCTTACATAGAGATCCCCCATACAGTCTTTGCAGTTTGCCAAATGATCATGTGCCTTTGCAACCTTAAAAAGTACAACAGAATGTAAACCAGGTGCTTTGTAACTAGAGCAGTGGCTTTGGTTTACTTCTAATGCAGTAGTTTTGTATATAGCTATTACTATAGATAGGTAGTTTGGAGTTGGTAAACTTCTGTAGAGGAGCAAGGAGGGCAGAGCGCATTCCCCAGAATACTCATTTCAGAGCTAGGAATTGAAGGATACCTAATTCAGTTACAGTAAAACTGCTGCTTGAAATTTGCTCTATTGAAAGTTAAATGAGGTTCATTTAATTTAAAGATAAATAAGCCCTCCTCCACCTCCAAAGACACAAAGATCTCATTAAAGAAAGGTAATAGAAAGAGGCCAAAAGTTACACTATCATAGCATCTTGGAATGAGATGGTAGATGCAGAATGAGCACTAGATAAGGAGAAATTGATGGCTAGACTCATGTAATCAAAGTCCACATGTATCAAACCATACAATTAATTCCTTGGTCCAGAAAGTGCAATTAATTTTGTTTTCTGGAATATCAGCAGGTTTCCTTGGTTCATCCTCAAGCCTCTTGCAGTTACTCTTCAGTGATCACATATTGTTATTGCACGTTAACAGTGGGAGATGGTAGGTGTCTTGTCAGCTGAGGACAACCAGTATGTTTGAATTTGATTTGTTCAGATTTCAAACTGGTTACGTAGACTTCTGGCAGTACCTACATACCAGTGTCATATTTCACCTACTTGTCCATAAAGGACAAAATAATAGGTTTTGGTATTAGTGCTTTTTCAGATCTTTTCTTTTTTGGGGCAAGACTTTGGGCATAATTGTAAATTATAAAGTTATGTTTAAATGGACAGTTCATATGAAATATGAGACCAATTTTAATTTGGTTTTGTTCCTTCTAGAAAGCAAAGTGTAAAACCATTTTATTAATGTTCCAGGAAGTATCTGGAATCCTTCTACCTACCCCAAATTCTACACTAAAAGTACATGTGAGAAGATGGTATTTTTGTCCTTTTTTCTTTTTTTTTCTAACAAAATCACAAATAAACTGTTTCCCTAAGAGAAGGGAGCTGATGGGTGTAGAAACTTCTAAACTACCTAGGCACTTGCTTTATAACATCACAGCAGCATGTTCAGCTCATCCAGCCTCCTTAAGAGCCAACAGTGGCCTGTCTGGTCATTTTGTCTAGTTTGTCACGTTTGCAGCAGCTGTACTTTAGAATAAGCCTTGTGTGGCATTGCTTTTGAGCAAGTAAACCATGAAAAATAACTTTGTTTTCTTTTTTTGTTTGGGTTTGGAAAATGGTTGGGTTTTGTTTTGATAAATGTCATTGTGTTGCATTTGTGTATTCACCCTAGTTGAAATCTGTCTGTGTGTTTGGGAGTTCAGTGGAACGTTAGGACAAGAAATGAAGCCTGCCATCTGGGCATGGATGGTGGATCTAGGGGGCAAAACGGACCAAACTTGGGTGTTGGGTTATTTTGGGATGGTGGGGGTTTCTGAGGGCATGATTTAAATTAACTCTGTCTAAAATAAAATGTAAGTGCAATAAATGTGCTTTTTTTATTCAAAGCTGTGAACCTTTAGGAAAAAAAAATCAAGAAAAAAATGCACATCATTCCTTCATGAGCCTTGTGTCCTACCTGCCTCCCCTTCCTCCCCCCTCTCCACACTTCTCAACTGACAGAAATCTGACAGTGGCCAACATGCATGTGTTGGCAACCCAAATTAATGTTGCTTTTATTCTGATCTTGCTTGTCAGGATTGGGGAAAGTCCTGCCCCTCCTTCTTGCCACCCTTGAAATCCCGTTGGGATCCAGTGCTGACCTGTGCCACGAGCAGGGTCTGCCCGTGTGGGTGCATGAGCCAGCCCACCCGCGCTGTGGTCATCCTGACTGCAAGTGCAGGCTTCCTCCTGGCCCTGCTGCCTCCAGTTGCAGCTTCCCTCCTCACCTCATTTCAGGTGTAGTGAGGGTCTCCCAGGGCTGAGCAGGTGACATCTTTATTAAGCAGTTGCAGAAGTAATCAGTCATCAGCTGCGTAATTGGATCCCTTTTCCCCTTTGTCAAACACACATGCAGGCTGGCCACTGTTGCCTTCTGTGACTCTGCCTTGTTTTGAAGGAGCAGGTATATGTGTTTGTAATCTGTCGTGCATTACTTGCACTGTCTCTCTTTCTTACTTGAGCGCAGGCTGCTTTTCCTAGATTAGGAAAGGTGCACTGGTCTCTTGGGAGGCTTCCACGAGAGGCACAATGCATGTGTTTCATTAAAAAATGATGGAAGGTGTAGCACTCGGTAGTTGGACCCCATGGGGGGGGTAAGAGAGGACTGGCTTGTTTAAAGTTTATAGATGTACAGATCTATATCCTTTAAACTTGATTATTTTTATATATAGTCAAGACAATGGCATTACCTCATAATACAGAGGCTTGTTTATGAGAGGCAAAGTATCTAGTAAGGAGAGGAAAGGGAAATTTATATAGATTTGATTTCTTTTTGTTTGTTTGTTTGTTCCTTAGTGCAATGAAATGGATGTCCCTCCAATTTAAACTCTGTGCTAACACATTCCTTTCAGCTGGTTTTGGTTTTGTTTTGTTTTTTTTTTTTGACCACCAGAGGTTTGCAAGGGGCTTAACTGCAGAGTAGAAGGTCCAGTCTGGTTACTTAAAAAAAAAAAAAATTGTGTTAGTAGATTTCCATAGCTGCTTTTTAAAATCTACAATGGAGTAATTGTTTTGAAACTTGTATTTATTTTTTAATTCATAACAAAATGTTTATTTTTGGTTTCTTGTTACATAGGTCATGGCAACTCCCCTTCTTTCCTTCTCAAGTTTCCCCTGTAATTGCCAATACAACTTATTTTTCTTGTTTGTTCCTTCCCTCTTTACTTTTGTTGTCCCTTCATTTGTACTTTGGAGTTTTTCTCATGTAAATTTGTACAATGGGAAATATTGTCCAGTTTGGTTAGAGAGCATGGAGAATTAAAACATATTAAAATTTGATAGCTGAAATCAGATTGAAGAAAACTATTTCTGTGTAAAGTTATTTAAAGAACTCTGTATTATATAAAAGGCAAAAAGTTCTATGTACTTGATGTGAATATGAGAATACTGCTATAATAAAGATTGACTGCATGGAAAAGTCTGAAGGAGATTGTTTACCCTGTAATTCAAAACTTCTCCTCTCTACAAGGTTCCAGGGGTGCAACTAAGGTGGTTAAGGGGAGTTGATTGCTTTAGAATGTAACTCTGGAAGAGGTGGGGGGGAGACAAAAATAATGATGATGGGATGCCTGGAGGGTAACCCACCTCCCTTCATCTTCCTTATGCTCAATGGCTCTGCTTAGCCCTAGGGCAATTGTATCTCTGCAGAGGGTTTTGCTTCACAAGGATTATTCTGGACTTTGATAACATCCAAGGGTGATTTCCCCTCACCCTTGGGAAAACTTGGCACCAGTTGGTCTGGGTTCTCTTCAGGCTAACTTCCCCTGCTTCTGTGGCAACTGTTATCCCAGCTGTTACTTGGTGACAAGACTTCCCTAAAATGTCTTTTAAGTTAACTTCTCAGCAGTTCTAACATGGACAAGTTTTATTTTCGCGGCGAGGCGAGGCCGCTCTGCTGGCCGGCGGCTGTAGGACGCCAAAGCACAGAAACGCCCAATAAAGAATCTCACGCCTGTCCCGTGTTAGTAAAGACTTGCACGTGTGAGTGGGCTCTCTTTACTTACTTCTCCTTTTTTTTTTTTTTTCTTAAATAGGCGTTAAGATGGCGCTGCTGCCTAGTCAGACGCTCGCTCAGGAGGGTCGCTGAAGCAGCAGCCTGGCTTTGATCCCTGCGGTGCTGGAAGCCCCAGCCTGTCAGTCAGTGTGTCCGTTCACTGCCACAGCAAGAGTCGGAGGAAATCTGCTAGCTGCTTAGGGAGGACAAGTTGCACCCAGTACGTGTCATATACCTTCTAGGAGACTCAGATGATCATGAGCAAAGCACGCAAAAATAATGGAGAAAGTAGCCAGACAATCAGAGAGGTCCTTTCAAGCAATCAGACTCCCCCCTACTGCTTCTGAAAAGGTATACCACCAATATAAAATTAGTGCATGCTAATTAGTTCGTCCTGGTACTTATGGGATGACACTTCACAAACTAGAACTGGGCAAGAGTTTCTGTGACCCTCTGGAAGAGTAACCTTCTTTTGCCTGGCAGCTTATGAACAACACAGTCTGCGGACAAAGATTTAAATGTTTGGGTTCTCTGTGACAGGCTATACCTGACATCCTGAGCTGGCATAGCCACCTTTCTGATTGTACATTACTTGTACCTTAATTCTCTGCTTGTGAGGGAATAGCACTTTACATAGCCCCTGAGCCAAAGGCATCATCACCAACACTTGAGGTCAAATTTAGGTGTATCTTGTTCCAGCTCCATTTACCTTTGCAGGGAAAGATTCACCCTGTAAAGTGATTTAATTGAACTTTACAGACCAGTACTTGAAAATAGGTGTTACTGGCAGGTAAAGGTGAAAATTCTGAAGGAAAGAACAAATGCCTTGCTTTGATTGTCCTTTTTCTTTGGTAGGTGAATGTACAGTTTTGTTTACAGCCAGCGTATCCTGATTCACAGACTTCAGTGGTGTTTTACTCTTAGGCAGGGGTGGTCAAATACTGTATTTTAAATAAATAACAGTATCTTCTAAATCTGTTAACATCCCAAACAGCTGACATCCTCAGCTGAAACAGCATAGGCTTTGCATGTCTACCCTGTGGATGTCCTTGTAGTTAAGATATTTTAAGTTCTTCACTATTCTGAGTCTTATAACAGCCCTAATGCATTTTCAGCAACAGTTTACAGCAAACAGTGGGAAACTGTGCAATCACTGTTTTTGCTTAACACTCTATTTTTGCTTAATTCAACGTGAGTTTATCTTTTCCCATAAAACCTAAACACTTTAATGTAAGGTTTGTAGTTTTGGCATCAACTCCACCTCACAACTCCCTTGCATTTTGTCTTTCTCCCTTTTCATAGTCCCTGGCATATTGTTCCCTGTGTCATTATTCTCAAACATTTCACATTTTCCATCCTGTGCAGGCCAGATGGTTCCACTGCTGGCTTTGACCTTCAAAAGCAGCTTTGTCTTCCTAGACTCAATCCTCACCTTCATTCTTCCTTGACTCCAGCTCCTTTCATTGACATTACCACTCTTGCTTGCATGGGGAGTTTGGGGAACTGCGTAAGAAGCAGGGTTCAAGAGGAGGCAATGCACACCTGCTCACTGGCTGCCCCTGAGCTGCTGTTTGAGAGCTGGGGGCAGACTGGCTGGTATGCCTGCATTGCTCCTGGGGACGGGAGAGGCAGCTCCAGAACCTCCACCCTGCCTCTGTTCTGCCACCTGTCTCCAAGCGGTGCCTTGTCCTGAGAAATTAGTGTATTTTTCCAGGTTCAAAGCTCTTTACTGAAATCAATTAACTAAAAGGAAAGAAAAGGAAGGTAAGAAAGGAGAACTGTTCTGATGTAAGAATCACACACTTAGTGCTTCCTTCACAGCAGAATACAATGATGATAGGATGTGAGACAGGCCAAAATGGAGATCTGCTGTAGCTTAGTGTATACTCAAAATGACACGTCCTTTGAAAAACACATCTCATCATGACTGAATAAACAGTGATACACTTGCTACTTATCTAGCAGATGAATAGAAGGCAGGTAAAACACAAGGGTTTTTTATCATATAGTTCTTTTTTATATATATATTTCTTTCAAAGCTTGATTTCTTAAAATCAAAATTGTTTGTGATGAGCTTACAGATAAACAGCATAGCAGTGCAAGATATGATGGAAGAATTAAAACAGAGGAGTAATACACTGCAAAGTAAATTTCAGTTTTATAAATAATATTCCTGTTTAAGGATTTAAGTGTTCAAAAATCATGCTCATCTTCTGCTTCCATCTCCTCCTTCCCCACCTCCAGGTAAGCTCCATGTCCATCTCACACGTCCAGTGTTGTCACACAGCTAATCCCTGTGGCTCTCTGGTGCCAAGATGTCCAGTAACACAGTAAGTGCCAAATCTATAAATGGGTCACTGGAAACGCAGAGGAGAAAAAAGCTAGGAAACCCAGTTATTGCAGGGTGGGGTGGGTGTCCTATGTGCATTTCTTTTCATTGCAGCAAGTTGCAGAAGTTCTGTTGCTAAGGTCTTTGTTACTTGTATTTTTGTTTTTCACAGCTTTCCTGTTTGTACATGGAACCCAGATTCCCTTTGTATGCTCTTAATACCCTCATCAAAAAGGAATTTCATTGATTCATGCCCAGAGGCTTTCAGTTTCTTGAGGGGGGCTCGTGTGTTGGCAAGGAGAGAAGCTGACGGCTATTACTACCTGGGCCACATTGCCCAAGAGGTGAAGGTAGCTATTTATTGGGAACTGTGCTGTAAGAGCATCTGTGTGTCTTTTCCCTGTTCTTCCCATGCCTCGACAGTCCCATGGCCTCGCTGCAGTGTGGCTCTCCTGGGATACAGTGCACTTCACAACCACTGTTGTCTCCTCACATCCTATTTTCATCTGTTTCCTGATGATGACTGGCTGTTTTCTATGAAGAGTCCTGCAAGCAAAAGCAGCTTGGAAATAATCCATTTTAGTAGTTATAATAAGTTGTTATTCAGAGACAATCAAACAAAACAGGGCCCTTATCCCTATTGTCTGCTTCTGCCCAGTCTAGCATCAAAGTCAGTTACCTAAACAGCATAATAGTAATCCAAAATGTCTGCCCCCAGGGACCACTTCCTCCTTACCAAGCTAAGAGCTTTCCTTGTTCTCCTGTTTATGGGATTTGTGAAATGACGACAGACAGGAAATCCCCCCTGCAGGCTTTCTTTACAAATCCAGTTCATTTCACAGTTGCAGGTTAGTGAAATAAATAGTGATGCTAGTATAGGTGAGGATGGCTGCAAGCTCCAGTGTGCGGTGGAACAGATGGGGTCGGTTAAAGGTATGAGTGACACAAGCTGGAGTTGGAGCTGACAGCATTGTTTGTGTAAGTGCACCCACAGATCTGCAGAGCAGGCTGAGATTTTTGTAATGGATCTGCCCCACACCCCTTGATGAAGGCTTAAAACATTTAATTTTATGACAGTTACAATGTTTTACTGGTTGTATTTTTGATTACTATGTAACAAACTGGATCAGATGCAGCAGTTTCTTTTGGCTACTCTTTTTCTGATAGGAGGTTTTGCTGGTACAGTTCTGCCTTAGCCTGCTTATTGTGTTCTTACTAAAATCTAAGTCCAAAGTGAAAGGAAGAGAGAGGCTGTCAGCTCCTTAAGCCCCAGTCTTTTAGTTACTTTTAAAGTCCAGTATGGATACAGGACAGTGAAAAACCTGGTAGAAGAGGAAAGCTACATTCCCAGATCACATTCTGCTTCCTGGGATTTCTGCCACTTCCCTCTTAGCACTTGTGTTTGTTTGGCCGTTAATTGGACCCAGACGTCTGTCTTGCAGACCACATGTTTTATTCTTGTAGGGCTCCAGGGAACGCTTTTTAATTGAGTTTGACAAAAGTCGCACTCTGAAAGGCAAGGTACGGCCTCGCATGCAGGAAACGCCTCTCTACGACATTCTCCACTATGAAGATGCCAGGCAACAGCCTCTTGCTCCAGGAGACAGGGTTTTGGCACCATGGGAGCCTCGAGCTGAACGTTTTGGCCCGGGCACTGTGCTAAAGGTTATGGAAAACAAAGAGGCACGTTTAGGTATGAGCTATTGGCTTTCTTAATAGTGCTAGACTCACCATGGTTGCTGGTCACTACACAGAAAAGAGAACAGTCTCAGTCATGGGGAACTCACCACCTGCTTCTTGGGTTCTCTTCATCATCTTTTTTGTTGTTGCTGGCACTAAGCAGACTTTTTGTTTTCAGTGCCGGAATTAATGCAGCTCCCAGAATTAGCCTTTGCTTTGTTCTGTGAGTGGAAACTTCCTCAAAAAGTGTGGGGGGGCCATGTCCTCCCAACACAAGGAGAAGAATGTTCCTGGCCTTCATGAGTATTCCCCTGTTAGTCTTGTTTCCAGCTTTTGCAGGATAAAATGCTGGCTCACTGTGATGAGCGAAAAATCTTGCTATCTGCTGTCTCTTCATAGTTCTAAAAGAAGGTGAAATTTTAAACCTGTAAAGAAAAAATTATGCAAGTGTTACGAAATTGTCTAAACACAAACTCTTACTTTTATCTCCTGCTTTCTAAGGAATAAATCACACAGGTTGACGTGCTTTTAATTTATTTATTTATTTATTTTTTTAATATGCACAGCACACAACAGAAGGGGAGTTCTTGTGAATTTCTGGAATGGGCAGACTAAGGAGGTGTCTTCTGACCAAGCTCTGCGGATTCCTCTGCCCTTGAGTGAACGCATCATCCTAGAACTGCAGATGCCTTTAGCAGCCAGGCAGATGGTGGTAGATTCGAGCGTGGATTACCCATACGTTGTGACACCAGGTTATAGAGCTTCAGGCCATTACAGACAGGGTCACTCAGACCTGGACTACTGGCCAAGGGGTCTGTATTTGGCTCGGCCATGCGCTGAGTACAGCTGTAGGTGTGCCTCACTTCCCCATTGCTGCCTTGTAGCTCAGGAACCTATGTGGCCTGCAGGGTGCAAAGTGCAGCAAGAAGATGCTTTCATCCCAGGAACACGCTTGAGTAAAGAAGATGAGAAAGTAGAAGAGCAACTGTCTGAAATGAGGATTTCATCTTCAGAAAGTGTTTTGAGAGAGGAAGAGAAGAAGGAAGAGAAGAGATTGAAAACAGAAAGTGCTGCAAAAGATGTTCAGTTTTGTCTGAAAGAGGACAATGAGGTTCTAGAACCTAAAAAGGTAAAATGCTTCACTCTGGCTCTTTTGTTAACATGTGATCTGCTATTTGTATAATGTCTGCTTTGTTACCTCAAGTTTTCTACTGTTGGTACCAAAAAATTACTAGAGATCTTAAGCCTGGGCCTTATGCATGCCTGCTAAAGAATGGAGAGACTCTTTGCTCTGCACTGACTTTGTGAACCTTTGACTGAGGAAAGAACTGGAAGATGTCATTGTCACTGGCTGGAGCAGACTCCTAAAACCTCTTCCACAGATGCAGAATATGAGAAGTGTCACACAGCCCAGTATGTCTACATCCTGCCTCTGCGTAAGTGAGGTAAAGGCAGGAAGAAGTGTCAAATAAAAGAGTTTACACCGGATAAGGATTAGAGTAAGGATTGTTCCATATTAAGGCAGTCCATGGCATGATTCTATTAAGATACTTCTCTGCTCTATTAGAGGCATAACCTCTCCCAATTAAAGATCAAAAGAGATATTTCTGTGATCCTCCGTACTTGATTTGGTACTCATGAACAGGGCACTGGATGAGGATCTGTAAGGAGGAGGTTAATGTGCACCAGCTACTGCCAAGCTTTTCTCCATTGCTCTGCACGGGTTAGAATCCTGATTTCTAGCATGTGCTGGAAGCATGAGTGTCGTTCAGCCAGAACTGCTCTGGCCTGATCTTTTTTGTACCAGTCTGGACCCTTACAGGCAGAAGTACTGCCAGTTTTTAGGTCATTTGAAGATGTAGAGAAACCCACAAAGTGATCAAAATTACCCTACTTAAGAGTTCTTTGTTTGGCTAGTAAAGAAGTCCCCCAGAGTTTTTTTTATTCTTTCTCAAACTTCAGTTGCAACTTAAGATCTTACTCTGTAAGTTCATGAACGTAGCCTATTCTTTTCCTTATTGGGTCTGGAATATGATTGTATTTCTTGTTATTTCTAGAGTCCTCAAAGGGAGATGGCTCACACTGTTGTTGATACTGCTGTCAACACAGACAGCTGGCTAATCGAGACAGCCCACAAGGAAGAAGCAGACAGAAGACAGCGGGATGTTGAAACTGAGGCTAATATTAAACACGAACATGGTATTGAAATTGTAGCTGTTTTATCCAAACATAAGACTTGCCACACAACATCAGCACAGCGGGCCATCCTGTCTAAGATCTGTTGCCATAGTTCTTGATGTTTCAAAAGAAAATGTTGCAATGCCACCATAATGTAGTATCATTATATGTAGGTATTAACTGTAGTATGTCTTGAGAAGTTGTTCTTCTCAGTGTGAAAGTATTTTCAGACAGAAGTTGGGATTTTTTGGCTTTTACAGCTACTGCAGCAGCAACTTTTGGATTTTCTTGACCTTTATCATAATGCTCACTATAAATATTATTTATTATAAAATTCCCTTACTTTAAAAATTAATCCGTAACATTAACTGACTGCCTATAGCAAAAAGATTTCACCAGGACTGTTCTGCAGAACACTCCTTCTCTTAGCTGTGCTGAAATTTATTGTTTTATACATCATTGAGTAAACTTTTATTCCCTTATCATCCAAAAGGGGCTGGATCATGATTTTAATCAAATTGTTGCTGTTCTCATTTAAGCTGTTTTTGTGACAACTGCAGGCATTTAAGTGAGGCTACTGAAAGCCTAAAGCTTTCTCTAGGTGTTACTGCTTTGCTCTGTGTCACTGCTGTTAAGAGGAAGAATGAAAAGTCAAGCAGGAGTGCACATTTCATCCCAGCTGGTGTTCCAGCATTATTTCGTGCAAAAACTGCCACTCAGGTTCACACTGTCTTTAGCAGAAAGGTGCAAGCAAACACTGCTTCTGTTCTCAGTTACCCAAGAGCTGTGTTAGCACAGTGTTGTGCCCAAGCTAACTCCTTCTGTCTTTCAGCAAGATAGATAGCTCAGGCTTTGCTCTGTCAAGAAATACATAATTTTTCCTTGTCTCTGAGCACTGGCAGAAGCAGCTCATGTCTGCTTGCGAAATACCACATAAACAACCCCTTAGCCTGAGCAGCTGTATGTCCAGTCAGTGATCTTGTGTTACCAGGCAAAACACTTGCTTGACTGCAATGACAAGCTTGTTTTTTGAAAGCTGGGACCTGTTTTGTGCAGACCAAAAAATGTCCCACTTCTTCAGAGGAACATGTTTGTACTAAGTTATAAAAGTCTTACTTGAATATATTCTGTATGGGTTTTTTTTTAAATTTGCTTTCTTTTTATAAGCCTTCTATAACCTTTTACGTCCCTGCCCTAATTTATTTGAAAGGTCTTTTTGAGTCCAGAGTGGCAGAAGCTCTGATCCAGCATTCCCAAAGGACCCCTTCCCTGGGAACCAGTGCTTTGGTTCCTTTCAGGCGCCAAAGCTTCTTTGACCGAGTGAATCAATCACTAGAGAAAGACAGCCTGACCATCAAATCAGCTCTACGTGTACAAAGACTGCACAGTACCTCCAGTGAGCAAGCTGGGAGATCCATGCATCTTGTAAATCTTCTAAAGGACAAAAGCATTAGAGTAAGTATTTGGTCAAAACTAAATTTAGCTATTAGGATCAAGCCATTTGTTTGTGTCATGTGAGAATATACTCTCCTCTGATGTCTTTCTCAAAGGTTTTTACTGAAAAAAAAAAAAATATGGCTATGCATATATAGAAATATAAGGTTTCCACTTTGGAATCAGTGATGTACAGGAACAGGGCACTTCGGTATTTTTACTCAGCACTTTTGATTGATCTTTTTATTTTAGATTTAATCTTCTCTAACTAAACCTCTCAGCCAGCTCTACTAGATAGGAAAAAAATGATTCCTCTTTTACAGATACTGAAAGCAAAAAGGAGAAGGTCTTGGTAGTCAGCTGAATCCCATAGTGGGGAGTGTGTGTCAGGGCTGGGATGAAACTTCAAGTCTTGTAAGTGTCAGGCCAGTCTTTTACCTGCTGGAAAACACCATTTGTTCACCTCCCACCTATAAAACACCTTTGATTCTTTCTTTGATCTCTTCATCTGTATGTCCCTAAATGCAAACCACCCACAAGGCACAGTTTTTGCAAAGAATAGCAATACAATGGCGAACAAAGGTGTTTACTGCCCCTAGGAAGCCATACAGATCAATGTGTTGAGAGAAATCAGTCAAAATGCTACAGGAGACTGGCAGGGACATTGTTGGAAGGTCCTGTAGTGTTTTCCAGCTTGTGGTACTAGAGATGTCCTCGGGAAAGAACTGGAAGGAGACATTCTGTTAGCAGAGAGCAGCTAATGGCAGGAACATACCAAATGCAGCTGGGAATAGGAGGAGAGAGGATGCATTTGAGAAGAGGAAAATATTTTGTGGAAACTCTGTTCCAGACCCAAACAGACCTAGCAGTGTAAACTGGAATGCATGTCGAAGTTTTGGTGATGTTTCCTTGCTCCTTCCCTCATATGGGGCACTGTACTGAGTACAAAAGAAATAAATACTGCACTATGGCTATGAAAAGAAACCTTCTAGGTGCTCCTTCATCTCTATAAGCACAGTGCATTTAAAAGTGCAAATTAGGAACACTGCCCAGCATTGAAATGCAGATACTGCTGAAGAAAACACAAAAATTGCTTGACTGTGAGTAGAAATCTCAGACAACAGGAAGTGAAGAGTTAGTATACCTGCACAGAACTCCAGGAAGATTCTGTGTTTGGCCAGAGGGAGGCAGATATTTCTCTTTCTAATAAAATCTAGTAAGGAATCTGCAAGACAGTTTGTGGTCAGAACCTATATTTTCCATACAATCCAGAAGCTGACACAAAGATTGGACAGTTTTAAGCACTGGCTCAACACTGGAACAACCAGAACAGCATAGCCTACTGACCTATAAAGAACTCTTACAAATATCTGGATTTTCAGGCACCCCTTTGTTGGTTCTTTTGTACAGGTTTTAGCATCATACTCAATATTTTCATGGATGGGAAATGACACAACAGTATTCATGAGCCAGTGCAGCTTCTGGAGCTTGGGAATGACATTAGAAGATCAAGCTGTTCTGGTTTTGTAGGTTTACAGTTTGTATTAGAAAAATATACTGATGAGATTAAGGGTTCAGTTTGGGTTTTTTCTCTTAGAAATCAATACCTAATGGTGCATCTCAGGAGAGATGGAGTAAGATGGACTTCAGCAGAGCCAAGATTGAGCACAAAAGGTGGCAAGAGGAGCAGAGGCAGCTGAAGAGAGAGCAGCAGCAAGAGGCAGATGGCATCCAACGCCAGCTGCGCAGGGACAACCAGAGGTAATACCTAGGAGCTAACTGGTTTTTGCTGTAAATGTCGGAAGGTTGGTAATGTCTGCTCCCTGGTGCTCTCAGTCAGTCTCTGAACATCACATGTGGTGCCTCATGCTAGTCTCTGCAGAGGGGTTTACTGATGGGGATAAAAGTGATGCTTGAGGTATGGCTGTGTGGGCACATGGACCCACAGCCTTTAACATTATCTCCAAGGGCAAGTTCCCTTCAGTCTCGTCCTTGGACCCAAAGTCCTTTTGCTTCCCCCCAGATCCCTGCCCCTGGTCCCACAGCCCACTTAAGCTCAGCAGGTCCTTACCCAGATGACCCACCTCCTTCCATCTCTTCTGTTGCCCCTGTGGCTCCACCACCCATACACACAGGCACCCAGTTCTCCCCATTAGTACTAGAGCCCTGGAGGCACAATCCATTTCCTTGATTCCTGGTCTTCAGGACCAAGAACATAAGGCGCACCTGGTTAAGTAGTCAGGTGAAGAGATGACTGCATCCCATTTGAGGGTTTTGCCACCTCTGTTTAGGACATGGGTTTAGCCCTCATAATGTAACAAAGAATTCTGGAATGTTAACTGAGCACAGATTGCCAAAATATCTGCTTTGTGTCTTAGACACTGTCTTTTTCTTTTATTGCTATTTCTTTCTTTCTGAGAAATTTGAGAAATTTTGTTTTGGAAACAGGCAGCGATTGCGTCAGAGAACATTGCAAGTGTTGGAGAAACAGCTGGAGCACAAAGACAGAGCTTTGCAGCACATGGCACTGCTCCAGGCTGCTGGGGCAGAGAGGAGCAGGAAGGCATCCTCCTTGCTAGAGGAGGAGAAGAGGAAAGCAAGTCAGAGGCTGCAGTTCTTAAAGGCACAGCATTTGCAGAGAGAGGAGTTGCAGGTAGAACGCAATGACAGGAGCTCTGAACAAGAGAAAGAAAGGCTGGTAAGGGCAATTTCAGAAACATTTCTCCTGTACTACAGTGTTTCAAGCAGTGGCACCATCCAGAGTATTTGTCTTTTACCTGTTTTATTTCCAATATAATTATATAATTTAGAGATAAATAGATGAAGGGTAACATTTTTTGACACATGTATAAAGGTGAAAGATGGGAAGTGAAATTCTCTGTCTCTGTGATAGAAAGAGTCTTGCTGCATGCAAGGAATGAATTTCCATAGATTATAACCATTTATTACTTCTGCCAGAGGTAACTGTGGATGAAATTCAGCATGAAAGCTGGCTATACTATTGTAAATGTCTTTATTTTTTATGTAGGATTTTCTCAGGAGCAGAATGCAGTCACGGCAGGAAACGTTGAAACAAGAATCACAGGAGCAGGACAGGCAACAAAAACGGCACCAGGCTGCCAAAGGGAGAGTGTTCCAGAGCAGAGACCGGTCACACCAAAAGATGGAAAAAGAAGGCCAAAAACTCTGTGACCTCCAGCAGTACCTCAGAGAGCAGAATCTTTTGATGCTCCGGGCGTCACTGCTAGCCTAAGGAAGCTGCTGAGAGGGTAAGCAGGCCCTCGAGCAGTTCACAGACCTGCTCTGTATCCTGTAGGGGTGAGTCTGTGGGCTGGAGCTTGGGTGCTTGAATGCAGTTGTGACAAGTGGAATTATGATTCCTGGAGAAGCCTTTAATCTTCCTTTCATTGCAGCCAGAGTGCATTTTCACTGCTCCGTCCTTTCCATGCCTTTCTTTCTGGAGTTACCCCTCCTTCTGGAGTTACCTGTTCTGTGACCCTGCTGACAGAACTGGCTCTGCAACAAAGAGCTACCTTGGCATTTAACATGAAATAGGGCCATAGTACCGAGTTTCTGCCCCAAAGTCATCTTTCCCAAGGCCTCCAAGGAGTCAGCACCCATCATGCCGAGTGTTGTAGTCTGAGGCTGTTGAAAGTGTCATGAGGCGACTCAAAGCGGAGCAACAGAGGACCTGGGAGTTAGTGACAGAATGATTCAAAGGGCACAAGATCTAGAGCGAGGCAGAGGGGCATTAGCTTGTAGCTACTTTTGAGATGCAAACAAGAGACAGCAATTAGTTAAATGAGGGCACAGGCTGTGCAATAGAATAGGAGGTGAAGAACAAGAATGGAGGTCAAGACAAACCCCCTGGGATGAGTCCCTCAAGTGAAGCAGTGCAAGCACAGGCACAGGTTACATCCTGCTAACCCAAGTCTGCAGGGAAATTAAATGCAGGTCTCAAAAGGCTTCTGCTGTTGAATCCTGGGAACTTTCTGCCCTGCTGTGCTTCTTCCAGAGCAGCACCAGAAAGCACATTTCTTTAAGGTCAAGGACCACATAAAATAGGACATGTAGTTACATGATGCTGTCATATGACTTAGCTTGATACGTTAACGTTCTATTAAATAATGGGGAAGGAGAGCTGGACACCAGCTGGATGTTAAAAAACCCAAACCTGCAGCAATGAAAATGTACATGCTAAAATACAACGTAAAGTATCCACTGCATTTCCATTATGAACAACAGACTCTTCCAAGTCAGTTGAGATCCACAGGGAAGAAGTCTCCCTACATATGACACAGTTGTGCTACTGCCTGCCAAAACTGCTGTAAGGGGCAGGGCAAGGATAAAGTGACATGAGGAGTGCTTCAGAAAACCTGCTAAGGCAACTTGGAGCCCTCCAGCTTTGGCTTCAGGTAAGTGTAGTTCTTCTACTGTCAGGGTGTCCATACTGCTTGGAATAAATAGGCCACTCCCCTAGAGGAGGAATGACTTATAGAAGCCCAAAATGCAAAGAGGAAGATGCGGTTTTTGGTGACAAGCCACCCCTTCTAGGCATTGTGATGACAAAAATGTCTGTTCTCTGAAATACCTGCCTTTGGAGAATCACCAAACCCAGTGGGGGGCCTGGGGGCCTGGTTTGCCTGCGAACTCACTTTCAGGCTGGCAGTCTCCAAAAGCAGGTAATCTTAGGTCAGAAAGATACCGGGTTATCTTTGCAAGTAGGACAGCTGGTCCGAATAAACAGACTTTTTGTTCACCATGAATAAATGAGGAGAATGCTACAAAGATAAATGAATTGGTAAATTGAGGTAAACAATTATGTGACCATCCAAGGTAGCCCGTAGTGCTCTAAGAGAAGAATTCCCTGTACATAGCTACCACCTGGAGTCCACAGTACAACTTGCTCACGACTCCCCTGATTTTCTCAGCGCACTACTGACTTTTCTTAGCAAAGCATGTGGTGTCAGCTGCTCCTGGGGACAAGCTACCGGCCCCTCCCCTCCACTGAAAGGAAACAGCAAGGCATGTCAAGAGACAGTTTTTTGTAACAGGAGAGGGTTTGTTTAATGCACTGTACTCTGATGAATGGAGGTGCCTTCGCTGACAAAGGGGAGGAGGAGGTTATGCTTGTCACATCCTGAAGTGCTGTCCCTCTTCCTCATCAGGTACAAAACACAGCAGCTCTGTCACAGAGAATGCTATTGCCAGCTTTGGGGAGCCAGAAATGTGACTGTCCCTTTCATGTGGGTATTTAGGAAAGGAGAATAGACATGGCACAATTATTTTGCTGCAGCAGTCAGAGCTATATTGAAGGATTTTCTTCTTTTGCACAAAATTATGCTAAAATATATATAATATTTGTAATACCTTGGTTTAAGTCAATATAATAAATACATTGTTTTTACCTAATACCAAACTAGATGTAAAATTTAAATGTTGTTGCCTGACATTCTGTATACACTTAGAAACATGTGACATTTTCTGGCACATCACTCAGCAAAAAGCATAAGTAATACAAAAATTCACCCCTTTTACAGGAACACGGCACTAGTGATAAGAGCAGTTTCTAAAAAAACCCAACAAACTATTAAGAAAACTTGTAAAAGGGAGCTCCTTTGAAATTCTGCCAACTCTTTTGAATGGCCAGCAGTTTCTTAGCAGTAAGTCTCAGACTGTGTTCCTCCAAAGATAACTGAGAGGGTATGGCTTCAGCTTTCCCCCTCAAAAGACAATTAAAGTTAAGTCTCCCCTCCAGTTGTTTACAAAATATTCTAAGGCCTTAATAGCTAAAAGGGGTATTCATCACTTTAGGAGCTGTAATATGCATGAACCATCCTGAGGTGTTTTTTTTTTTTTAAAAAAAAAGGGAAAAGGAAAGAAAGATGAACCTACACATAAGCTGAAGGCTTTGACGTTTTCTCTGTTTAAATTAAGGTCTGAGAAAATTGTAACTTGCTGCATATATGGAAATTACATGTGAAGCAGAGTTTTGCATTTCAGACGTGGAATTCTCTCATTTGGCTTAAGCTCTGTTTGGCCTCTGGGAAAGCTGGCTGAAATCTGCTCAGCAAGAACAGGGCTGGCTGTGCCCAAGACCTGCCTAACCGATGGACTCGGCCCAGGCTGCACACACCGCAGGGGGCTGGGCCGGGCCCCCCTGCCCCTCCAGCTGCGTGGAAATGGGAGCAGGCAGGCTCACTACCCAGAGAAAGCCAGTGTGGGCAGCCCTTGGAGATCTCCTTTAATGTAAAGTTTGCAGATTGCTTGCTTTTCTTCTTTTTTGAGTTCTTTTACACAAAATCACGTGCTAGTAGAGTACCTTGTTGTAAGTCTAATTAGACTTAGAAAAACAAGCCTAAAACTTAAAAGACATTGAACTCAGCTGCTGCTTTCATCCCTAAGCATTTGGAAATGGAATATGAATGATTAAAGGAAAATACATTAAATATATTGAGCAGAATCTAGACTTATTTTTCAGACTTCATTTATATATCATTAATCATTATTTTATAGTCACCATAAACCAGCAGATTGTCTGCTTATGCACTTCCTCTCCATTGCTTAACCATCTGAAAACAGACCACTGCAGCCACCCCGTACTGCTGCAGTTTCACATACAGCATATCTGGGAATATATTTAGTGTTACAATATTTCCAGTCATTCATAGACTGTATTTCTCACTATTAAAATACAGCCATAAAGTAATTTTAATATTGCTATTAAAATAACTGACTGTAAAAGCCATGTATGATCTAGCTCTTTTGCTGGCTTTATTTAACTTTAAACATTCACAATGTATTTTCTATCCATTAGGAAAATGCTTGGGACTCTGTTTTGCAAATTTGTGGAAACAAACCCCAAGCATTTGCATATTAAAGTTTTGAGTTGAATAGGGTCAGACCAGGGAGCAGAGGGGAGAGTGGTAGGAAGGAGGCACACAAAAAAGACAATTTTTTTTAAGGTTCGAAAGAAATTAACACCAGTACAAATAGTACCAAAACTTGTTTTTATTATGGAATTAGCTTTTCTGCCTAGGCAATTATTTTCATTTGATGTTTATAATCCAGACTTCGATAGTATAGTGGTAGAGTATGGAAGTCTGAAAGTATCAGATTGACTTGTCTGTTTTTATCATTCAAAATGACTAATAAAACCACTCCATGCAGGATGTCAGGATACTTCTACAATAAAAGTAGAAGTTAAAACTACAAAAGACAAAAAAGTTTACTGGCTTTTTTCAGCCAGAATTAGTTGGTTAGGTAGTGTTAGAATATAATTTCTCATGCCACAATGACAGATAAGTCCATAAATTAACTTTAAATATTTAACCTGATATATTTCAAAACAGACTTGATCAATGAACATCTTTTTAAAAATACTTTTAGACAAGTAACACTGCTTTTCTCATCAGGCTGCTGTAATCTTGTGCACCTAAACTACATAATATGTCGGTTTAAAAACTATCAGAGCACATCAGCTCCTAGAACTATGTGCTGAGTCCAAACTCTCCAACTGTGAAGTCTTCCTGGTTTCTGGAACAGACTTTCTAATCATCCCATACCTGGTGCTTGGCTGAAATGACTGAAGGCAACATTAATGGAGTAACTGCTGCATGGCATTTCCCCGAGATACATGTGACTTCTTGCCTTCAGCTTCTTTCTCTGTCAGCTCACAGACAGCAGAGGAAACCCTGCACAGTGAGAGGGCAGCCACAAGAGTCTATTTGAGAACAGAAGCTGCACTTTTGATAAGCAGTGGTTTAGCTGCCTCTAGGATATCCAGTTCAGGGTCCAATGAACGACCAAGACCTTCCAGAACCATTATGGCAAAGATGATGGAAGCAAAATTGCTCTCAAGCTTCACCTAGAACCATAAACAACTGAATTAACAGGGTGGACTTTTTTTTTTTTTTTTTTTTTTTTTTTTTTTTTTTTTAGCTACGCTGAGAGGGAAGGGAAGAGGCTGGGGACAGCATACACACATCTGAAACTATCCTGCAACTCCAGTACCTGGAGTTTCAGAACACAATGAAATCTAACAGCAGGCCCAAAAATGAGACAACAGTTTCAGGGTAAGTGCCTAAGGGAACACAAGAGCTTGGTTTTGAGTTCCAAAAGGGGGATGAAATTTTTTTTCTTCCATACTGGAATAGCAGGAGCTTAGGAAAGCTCACCATAGTGTGATTATAAGCTGCAGTAGTATCCAACATACCTGAACACATGCACTTGTGTAAGGGGGAGGTCACCTTCTGAACAGCCACCAGACCCCCACAGATCACAGAGGAAATGATCCTCTGCTCTGCGTGTGAACAAACTACTCCCCAGTTCCCAGGCAGGCACCAGGGTTGTTTCAAGATATACCAGGGCAGTAAGAATTCATGGAGTTGGGAGAACTTGTTTTGTAAGGGCCTAAATTACATTTCATGTTATTAGAAACCAGCTTAATGAGGCTTAATGACAAAAACATCTAACTAAGGAATGTTTAGGGGCACCACTTGCAGGCTGGGCAGCCCTGTGGCTGACAACATTCTCATCTCTAGTTAAGGCCACCACAGCTCTGTTGATTTCCAAAGTTGTTTCCAACTGTGGAAACCCGTTCCCCAAATACTATCAGTTATAGGAAGGAATCTTTGTTCTGTGAGCAACTCCTCACTTTTGAGGCCTCTAACAAACCAGTAGAACAGCCCAGTGCTGTTATATAACCAGGTATCCAGAAAGAGGTCCAGGGAAGAATGCATGCAATGATGTAAAAGTGGACCATGTATTAGATTTCATTTTCTGCTTCTAAGGGACTATAAAATAGACAGGAAAAACTATGTGTTACAGCAACATTTCTTTTAGTAAATAATATCAACCAATGCATTTGCAACATTAAGACAAAACCCAACAAAACAGAAATTGGCCTCAGTAGGGTACACATCAAGCCCTGAGAAACAGTATGCCTGCAGCACCTGGATGCATTCCTGCAGCCCCCCTCCTAGCAGTTCCTTTTAGAAGTTACAGTCCCTCTCCTTGTCAGCCCTTCATGTTCCCAGCAGTTCTCCCTCCCCTAATGAGCTTCCAGCTGTTGAAGGCAGACAGTGACAGGACCTCACCTTATGGGTCATCAGTAGTTTAAAGACATTAGAGAGGAGATTTGCCACCTGAAGCTGGAATACAAAAGGAGAAGTTAACAACTGATCAAAAAAACCTGTGGTCAAGAAGACTGAGCCATGTGAGTGACAGGCAGGATTCTTCTAAGTGTTTGTTAGCATTTGGTTCTGGTGGTGGGACAAGATAATTGGGCTGACAGCAGCCAACATGGAGGTATGATTCCCCCACAACCCCACTCAGGATCAGGAGTTCAGCTGTGACCCACAGCTCTGCTTACTTGCCAGCCCAGGAAGGCTGAACATGCCTGACCTCACAGCAGTACATAACTTGCACTAATTTGCTCAATGCCACCATACTACACTCTCTGAAGTACCCAGGCTGGCCTTAGCTAACAGGATGCAAGCTGTAACATCACACTCAGCAACTCCTCACAGGGAACTGCAGATGTTAAAGATTAAAAAAAAAACAAAACAAAACATAAACAAAAAGCCTCACAAACAAACACACACACACTTAAAAAAAAAAAAAGAAGGTAGTAAGAAAGGATTTATGGACTTTTGCTGCACCTGAGAGACTAAGATCACCCAGTACTGGTTGGTGGTGCTGAGGAGATCAGAGCTGGCCTTCCCACATGGATCATTCTGAAAGCCAAGTTGCACTGAATTGGAGGTAAGCAAGGGTGGGACACTGTGTGTGCACTTGCCTTTCCTAGGGCAATGGTGTTCCCCCGGACCTTGGTCACTAGTTCAGCCATCTCAGCTTTGAATCGCTCGATATCCTGGCACTGGTTAGCACGGGCATGATGAAGGATCAGTTCTGCCACTCTCTCCCCCTGTGAAACAAGTCAAAAAGGAGAATCACAACTTGATCAATGCCAAGCAGGCCATCAGGAGCTGCAGATCATCAGTCCCAGGAGGCCTCTGCCACATAGCTCCCTGGAGGAGCCATACTGCAGGGAGAACTCCCAGGGCCATGTTTTCCCGTTCCAGCAACGCCCAAAGAATCAACAGAAGCAGGTGCAAAAAGGGCAGAACTGGTCCAAAAGTCTTAGCTGTTATCTGGCAAAACCCTCTTTATTTTTCTTCTGTGCCTTGTAGGGTAGAACACAAGAAAGATCAATCTCAGTGAGTCAGAAGTTTCAGGGGGAAAAATAAAACCCACAGGATTGGCATTTTCTTCTCAGCAGAGGAGATAAGGGTGTAAAGGAGGACATACATTAACCTCCCTTATGGGCTAGATCCAACTTTCCATATGCAAACTGGAGAGCAAGAGCGAGCTGATTCTATACCAGCAGATGTTTGGTGAGAAAGAGGAGGAGCCATATTCAAGCTTCACTTGTGAGAGGCTTTATACCTCTTCTTGGAAGACATGTCTGACAGCAACGTACAGAGCCAGAGGCCACAGGTTTGCCAATGAGACTTGGTGTTGAAGTTTTTCACCTGCACATCATGAATTACACCCAGCCTGAGCCATGCCTTCATGCATTTGCAATCAAGTGTTTGCAGTTTTTGCTTAGTAGCTGAGAAGTCTGGCAGCACAGGATGGGCCTGAATACACAGTTTAGCACCAACACCTCAGTATGTTCCAGCAGGTTACACAGACCAAGTTAAAGCATGCCCCTCTTGAGATATACTGGTGAGCCACCCAACCCACAGCTGAGAAACTGCAACATGCAAGTATGAGCACAGATGCTTGTTCTCAGTATGAGCAGGAGACATCAGCACTGGATTCTTTAGTCCATCTGAGAGTCTATTTTAAATAAATGGGAAGATAAAGTAGTTCCCCTTATACAGAGAGTCTGGCAGAGGCCAGACCCAACACGCCCCGTTTTGCTTCCTCTTTTCTTTGGATGCTGACACAACAGCAGAATGGAGTATGGCATATGGGCTTTCCTGCAAAGCTGCAGAAGGGAACGTGTGTGCAAGACCAAGATGTTAATCCATTCCTTCCTCTTGTCTAGCAAAACCTGGCAGATGCTGGAAGTCTCAAGCACAAGTGGCTCCCAGGCAGCCCTAACTTGCATCAGAAGCACTCCCAACCAGGGAGTGGCAGCCAGTGCTTCCCATTTAACACCTTCTGTTGCCTGGGCCACTGAAATGGCTCCACTCTGGGATCCTCCTTGCTGTATCTGAACATTTTACCCTGTGTCTTGTATAGCTTGCACGCTAGCAAATCTCCTCTCCCCTCTTATGGAGGTTTGCAAGGGGAAATGGAGAGAAAACTATCACTTGGGCTATCAAACTCCATTTGTCTCCCTTCCACAGCCTCAGCTCCCCAGACCCGTGCCAGAGGCCTCACCTGGCCCTGGACCACGGCCGTGAAAACCGCCCGGAAGTTCTGCATGTCGGCGCTCTGCAGCTCCGCCACGATGCCTGCGTCCAGCAGCACCAGGCAGAGCTGCCTGAGGGGTGGCTGCACTTCCACCACGAGCGTGTCACACAGGTCCACGATGGCCGTCTGCTCCTTGCAGCTGGGGCTGACACAGGCCATGCCTTGAACCAGGATGTTCCCAGGGTGCAAATCAGCATGGACAAAGTTGTCAACAAAGACCTAGAGGACAGGCAAGTCTTAGAGCAAGCAGCTCATTCCCACCAAACCTGCCCACGCCAAAACCCCCAGGCAAATAGCAGAAGTTTGTTTCTGGTCTGTTCACTGTCATATGTGTCACCCCAGGCAGCAACACAACGAATGGCTCCTGCTGCAGACCAGCTGTGCTGAAACGTCACGGGTGCTACTCGCTCTAGGAGTGAGCAGGGCTGTGTGAAGCAATCCCCTGTTTGCTAGAGGTCAGGTAGGACAGCCAGGAGTCCCAGCAGGAACAGTAGCACTCTTGGGCAATTAACCCTAAACTGGGGGCACACTGGTGGGTCTTGGCAAAGAGTAATGCAGTAAGGACAGGTCATCTGCCATTCAGTGGCATGGGTTATAGCAAATGGTTAAGTTTGTCTAGTCCAGGACATCAACCCACATCACAACTGTATTGAAAAATAAGGAAAATGAGTTAAGACAAATGTATGTAGCACTTCTCTGCCTCTGCTAGCAGTTAGCAGCAGTTAGCACCAGAAAAGACTAGCAAGAGGGCTAGCACAAGACAGTACTTCCCCACTAGCCCTCCTGGCCCTGCAGGACTTTCTGCCCCAAGGAGGTTTATTTCATGGATTTCTCCTACAAATTTGTCCAGTTGCCATGTAAATAATTAGAGCTGTGTAAAAAAAGGAGATTTTTTTTCTTTTGTAGGTGTTGCCTGCAAAAATGACCTCTGATAATTTTATTTCCTCCTCATTGGTCTGTTTTGAGAAACCATACACAATAGATCCATATTCAGTCTCATGCACTCATGACTACATATATCTGTCATAAGCTACTCATTTCTCTGCTTTCCAGAGTTAAGAGTCCAAATTATTTCACCATTCCAGTATGGAGGCCATTCCACACCAGTAATTACCCTGGGTGTCTTCCTCTTCTCCCCTTCTAGCTATATTAAGCCCTTGAAATGGAGGGTCCTGGACAGTGTGGGACTGGAACTGCACAGAGTTTTGGTTGGGTTTTTTTAGTTGGTTTTGATTGGCTGGTTTGTTTTGCATCCCCCCCGCTCCAAGAAACAGCCATAATGTTGTTTCTTTGCTCTTTAATTCTTTTCTAATCCTAAAATTTGGGGGGGTTGCTTTGCTCCTAACCATTGATTCCAATGTTGGTGTAAAAGCTATTCTAGTTCCACCATCGCTTTTCTGAGTGGTAAAAGCTATTTCAGAGTCTGTCATACAACACACAGTCAGAACTGCGGGCCTCCCCATCACCCCAGCATGATGTTGCAGTTATCAGCTGAATTTCATCTGACACTTACTGCCCACGCACTCAGTACTATGAGGCTCTTTTGCAACTCCTCCCTGTTAGTTCTCATGGCTCCTCACGAGACAATTGTGTCACCCTCTCAATACTCCTTTTCAGATCATTTGTGATTATCTCAACCACAGATGGACTGAATCATAAGCTTAATCTGGCCAGGTTTGTTTTCTTTACTCCGTATTTAGTTCTTCCTTAGAAAAAGGCAGTTTTGGAGGAGGATTCGATACACGAAGAAACTAGCTAGCTGTTTTCCTTGTGAGTTGCATCCATAGTCTCTACAGAGAGCAGGTATTTGCTAATTACATTGCACTTTATCGTACTTGGGCAATATGTGAATATTCATTAAATAAACCAGTGAGTTTCCTAAGCAAATGCACTGATCAAGTTGCATAGGACGACCTTACTGTGGGCAGGCAGATCACCCTTCTGCAGTGGAGGAAGCTCCGTGTCAAAGTCTACAGCAGCAGTGTGTCTAGCCCAGGCTTTACTCAGACCTTGTGCCACACTGCACACAAAGTACAGACCCTCCCTCTGCCAGTTCAGGAGCTGCACAGTGCTCAAGCAGCCCACATCATAGGTTACCATGAGATACCTGGCATCCATGGGCTGGGTCTCCATGGGGAGAAGGGTAGGAGACATGGGAAGCAAACAGGTTCTCTCTTTAGCCCTGTTGTCTTATTACCCCAACTGAACAGCTTTTGCAGGAAGACCACTTCCAGCCTCAGCCAAGTGCCTACCATCTTTAGAAGCATGTCCATGCCCATCTTTGCAATTCTCTTCCTCAGCTCTGTGGCAATCTCTGCATGCAGGTAGTGTGAAATAGGCTCACTCTCCTGAAAAAGATGGAGCTGGAGTCAAACACAGCCTGTATCCCACCATGAACCACACCTTTACCTAGGTGCCCAGAACTGAGGGAAAATTATAAGAATACCCCTGGAAGGACCTGCTCATTAGAGGCTGGACCTACTGTGATGGAGAACATCAGAGAAGCAAAGGTTTGTTCTTTGAAAAGGCAGTGATATAGCCTGGGGTAGAAATATTCTTGCCAGGATCACAGGCACAAAAACTAAGGCTGAGGGTAGCTTTTGTCTGTGACCTAAACAGCCACAAGGGAAGTGAGACAAGCATCAGAAAGGGTCAGATTGCTGGGCTCCTTGCTTTGACCCACCACAGCAGAGAGCTGAAGCGTGGTGTCGGTTTGCAAAGCACAGGCAAGCGCATGGTGGCTGGACACACTGCTGGTCTGCTTGGTTTCTGGCCAAGTGTTCACTTCTGTATGGAGTTGTCTGCAACCTGTCTTCTGGGATGCACTGTTTACAAACAGAGAGAGTGGAAGAGACACTGAGGAAGGACACCAATCTCTTTAAGCAAATAGAAAAGTATCCTTCTGCCTCTGATTGATCACTCCTCAAAAAACACCTCCCTGACGTGTTCTCCTAAGCACCTTCTCATTGCTACCACTGCTGCAAGACCCTCAATTCTTACCTCAAATGTTTCCACTAGAACATCTGCTGTTACCAAAGGCCGAAGTGGAGTTGGAAACTTCACAAAATCGACATCTAGGAAATTTTGTCGGAAGCGCTCCAGATTTCTGGCTTCGTAGCGTAAGTCAATCTCAAGGGAGAAAAAGTAGGTTGGAAATTAGATGCAATTAGAATTAGATCTTCAGGATCCTGTATGAGGATATGACTGTACGGTGCAATACTCAGTACCAACACAACTAGTCAGAAAGCCAGAAAGAAAAAAAAAAGAGTGGTGCTTCTTACATGCTTATAGTTTTCCTGATGGAAGAGTAGAGTAACAGACTGGGTAACAGCTGGCCCACAACCCAGCATCTTTGAAATACAGGTGACTTACTACAGGGGTGGTGTCTCTAAACAGACCAGGACTGAATTATTTTCGAGGGTAAAACAGATCCTGAACTAAAGCTTACTGTACAAATAGCAAAGCAGTCAGATAGGGTAGAACTGCAGCCTTAGCGTCACTTTACAGATAGGCAGCCACAGCAGGAAAAAACATGATGTAACACGTGCAAATTAATCCACTATGCAAAGTGCTGGCCTCAGCTCTTCAGTGATGTGGTGCCTTGACACAAGGGGCATCTCTCCTGCCCACTGCTGCTGCCCAAGGAGGCAGGATAACCTGGCCTCACCTCCTTCATCTGGCAGTGGGGAACATCCCAGGGATACTTGTTCTTTCAAAGAGAAATAGAAGGAAAATACAACAAGCCTATCTGATGCTCTCCTAAATCCTCAGTCTTCAGAGCATACACCAAAAGCTCTGCCAGACTGCACTGGTGCTACTAACCTCAAGTCACGTCTGAATACAGTCAACAGTTTACAACATGGATGTACTGTGCAATCTTTTCTGCAATAACAGAAAATAATTAAGGCTTTCAAAAGTTTATAACAGGCTTCAGAATCTGAAGCCTAGTCACAAAAATTAAATTAGCAGATAATGGTTCATTTTAACAGAAACATAAGCGTAATTAAGCCTGTGGTGAAATCTTCATAAGTTTGGTAGTAAGGACGCTTCAGGACTGTGCCTTTATAAGACATTACTAAATCAGGATATTTTCAGATCTATTTGTAAAGCTTAACTTTACCGACACTATAAATCAGATGACAATACAGAATATATTATTAACTTATGTAGAAGTGTATTGGTTATGCCAATACATGTATCTCAACGCTAACAAACATGACCAGTGAGCTGATTGCAAATGCATGTAGGACTGAAGAGTAAATACACACATCTGAGCACTTATTTGGAGAGATTCTTTTCCTAAGTAGAGGTCTCTCACCAGTGTTCATCTTTCACAGTGCTGCAAAAAGAACTGACACCAGGGCTAGCTGTGGTTCATGTGGTTAGTTTGAAAACATACTCTAAAAAAAAATTTAAAATCTAATAAAGATTGTTAATTTTTTTTCAATGGTTTGCTTTTTTACGCTGGGAGCATATAAGCTTTCCTACAGTAACATTACGTGACTGATTAGCATAAAGAACATAACTAAAGAACAAGCAAGCCTTCATCTAAGCCTTTAAAAAGTGGCAGTACGAGCAGTTAGAGCCAGCCAGGAGCAAGACAAAGGGCTGTTTTGTTTCAGTATGTGGGGACCATGGCATGGCACGCACCTGCTGAATCATAAGCTTCTCAAACTCCTCCACGACCTCTGTCAAACTGAGCCACTTGAATCCAGGGAGAAGTCCAATGATGTGGCTACCCATCTTCATGAGAAACAGATCCATCTGGACTTGGTGGACCAGCCCAGGGTGCAGAACCTGCACAAGAATGAACAGTGGCAAGATCAACTCCCCACTCTAATCAGCTCAAGTGATACTTTCCAAAAAGACAGAACCCCGCCTATTGGGAGCTAACAAGGCTTCCCCAGCTTGCCCTCAGAAGACTTCACATTTTGCCATGGATTAAGTTGTAAAGAAACATTTCATAATTGTCAAGTGGAATATATCTGTGCTGGAGACTACAGTCTCACCCAATGCCATTTTCCACTACTTTCATGCTCCCACCCTCTCCCTGCCATGTAGCACTGACTAGTATTTGGAGCAGCTCAAATGTAACATTTCTCTAACTAAACTTTGCTGGAAAGAACTTATCTGTTCCAGATTTTTTCATGTGAGCAGAGAAGGGGTTTCATTGTCTGGAAGGTGAAACCAAGCTTAATATCCATTCTTTTAATGTAAATTGGGCCCTTGGAGGCATTTCTGGTATCCACATGCCACCTCAAATGGTGCCATAGGCACTGCATGTACTTGAGCTCTCCGGGCTGGGAAGAGCTGGGGCCGCCACAAGTCTGGATTGCAGCTGGCTGGAACCAAAGCACTGAGAAGACACCCAGGGAGATGAGCATCACTACTGTCACTCTTCCTGCCCCTAGCCAGCTTCTCATCTCCCTGGGAATTAACTGGCCTCATCCAGCATGCTCCATTGTCACACATCTACCGGTCAGATGACTTACTTTAATGGCTACAGGCGTGAGATGTCTGGCTGACGAAGGATTTGCGTTCAGAAGTGGTTTGGACATCTGCTCCGTAAGGGGCGTCTTGCTCATAGGGCTTCCCTGGGAGCAGTCTGCTGGGCTCAGCTCCACCCTGCTCCTCTCCTCCCACATCTCCTCGCTCTTCCTCCTTCTCCTCAGCCATCTGAGGAGGCCTCTAAAGCCTGACACTTCCCATGCTTCAAAAGCAGACCTTAATTCTGAGCGCTGCGCTAGCTCCTTGGCCTGGGAGCCCGCAACAGCCGTGAGGTCAGCATAGGCTTTATACACCTGGGCGACGCAGCCCGAGCCCACTGGCTCCCGGCTTTGGAACTCGAGGATGCCTGTCCAGTCCTCTCCAAAGGCCTTCCTCAAGAGCTCATCGGTGTGGGCCCACGGGTGTGGGCTCACCTCGACGTGCAGCTTGGAGAACTCATCGCAGAAGGCCTCGGAGAAGAGGTCCCTCCGGGTGCTGGCCCACTGGCCCAGCTTGACACAGGTGGGGCCGGCGGCCTCGGCCGCCCTCCGCAGCAGCCGCAGCCACAGGGCGCCCAGGCCGGGCCACAGGCGACTCAGCGGGTAGAGCAGCAGCAGGGGGC